TGCCTATGAATGTGAAATGTCGGGGTGTATATTTGCTTGATAGTATCTGCGTTTGCATTTGTCTATATTAGTTTGATTTATCTAAAAAATACATCCATTCATAATATGTTTTTTTGTCTGTTTACGTTTTATGTTTAAAAAAAATTACAGAAACTTAAAATCTTATATGTTCCAAAGATATATAAAAATGGAAGAGCCAGTTCTAGTTTTTGTTTAGGTCGATAAACTCTTGGCCTGAACCCGTCGACATAACCATTTCTTCAGCCCGTCCCACATCTCGAATTCTCTATTTTCTACTTTAATTATCGAATATTTAAAATTCTCTAGCGCATTATATGTATAAAAGCATAGTGCGACTTATTATGATATATACTCTCTGACCAGACTTTGGTTGTCAAAGGCCTAATGATTCGTCCTTTACAAAGTCAAAATATCGACCTCATCGTGTGCTTTTTTAAAAATCCAATGTATTGTTATTTGTTACTATATTGCAATTATTCATTCCTCTGAGCCAAAGTCTTTCAATTATTTATTCTTTATACCCCAATTTGATTCAATTATTTGAACCCTTTTACATTTCAAGGTAATATTCCTTCTCTAAAACAGAACCGGGGAATAGTTGTCTAACAAAAAGACTAAACGCCCTCATCTAGATTCTAGATACTCCAATTATGTATACAAAAATGCAGAATTATAGTTATTAACTAATTATATTTTTTTTTCTACGACAAAACACAATTATTGTTTGAAGAGATGATTATGCGTGGAAACTATTTGGAATATATCACGAGTATGATATGAATATGACACCTTTAATTACGCACACGCTTAAGACATGAAATACAGTTAGGATACTTCTGAAAAGAAAAAAAACTATCTGAGCACTCATACTTTATATGCATTCACGAAATCATACCATTTCGCATATAATCCAACTTGATATTTTAATGGGAAAGATTAAACGAGTTCGTTTTGATGTTCATATAAATAACTCGTAATGTGTAAAACCAAAATCTATATGCGTAAATCGTAAAAAAGAAGAAAGACAATAATTAACAATTAGAACAAAATCCAGACAAGAAAAGCAATATGTCTGGCTGGCCGCAAAGCCGGAAAGATGATAAAAAAGGATCAGACAATCCATCCATCATTCATCCAACTAGTCTGTCCTTAATTATACAATTACATCCATTTTATTTTAGTTTTTTTTTTAATACCAAAACAACATGTTTTCCACGAACTTGGTTGCGTTGATGTAAATAAATATCCTCGAGATGCAAAATTTACTTTGATTAGTTATTTATAAGTTATCAGTATTTCAATACACTTTTTTTTTTTTTTTTTTTGCCAACCAATACATCCTTCTCATATGATACTGGTATCCGATTTTTTTTTATTACAAATTACTTTCAGTATATAATTTATTAGATTTAAATTTATATGTTGATATCACGATGATATTACTACAAATCACTACTACATCATTTTTTTTTTAAAAACAAATCACTACTACATAATGATTAACTATATCTTTAATATTTAATTTCATGTCGTTGTAGATGATATGAAAATTTTAGTTGTAAAAAGTATTTAGAATACAAGTAACGTTAAACATATTAAAGCCTGAAATTAATGAGTGGATTAATAGTCATCAAAGTCGTCATTATCATTTATGATTATCAGGCATATATGAGGAGGAATCGGAATCAGAGACTCCATCATAGCAAATCATTGGTGGGACCTAGATGTCTGGAGCTGTCTAGATTTGACACGTGTCGAACCTAACTGACAAAGATACTGTTTTGGAACTGCTTTGCTCCTCGTGTCGTGTGGATAAGATGTTTGTGAGGGATGCCATGATTCGATGGATGGTGCTTATTGTTGATGACATGTGAACCACCACTTTCTCTATATATTTCTCAATGTATATGTTACTGTATTTGTTACCATTATATTATTCGTTGGTTATTGTTGTGGATGAGGTTTAATCTAAAAGATGATTAATTTAAGGGTTGTTATACCAATCATCTGAAAAAAGGTAATGCGACTTGTGGCCATGTGGGTCACGCTCCATTATTTTATTTAGAAAACATGACATCCTTTTTTTTTTTTTTTTTTTTTTTTTTTTGTTCAAACGAAAACATGACATCCTTATTTCTTTTTTTCTATTATTCAATCCAACCTTCCTTTTTTTCACGTACTTTATTATTTTTTATTTCTTGTTTCTTCGATGTTTCCTACCTTCTCCGAAGTCAATGTTTTTATAATATTCCTATAATGCTGTTCATGTTTTCAGACCGACGAGAAACGTTAGGTTGGAAACGGTCTGAAGAGAATAGAAGCTCAAGTGTAAAAATAATGTATGGTGTATGATGAGAAACTTGAAAGTATGAATTAAAAAACAAAAACAAAACAAAACTAATCATGGCGTCTGGCTACTTGGAAGATCGCGTACATTATTACATTAAAAATCGGTTCGATCCAGTTACTACGTTTTTTGTCGTCTTACTCTTGGTTTAAATATAATAAATGGTTTAATCAATAATTTGTTTTTGAAAGTTCAACACCTATTTCAACATTAAGATTTTGCTTAATGACCTAAATCTAATTAAAGATATTAAATTTATACCAGTAAACAATGTATGTATCGTCGTGGAAACGAGTCTGTCACACCTCCTTCTGAGGGGACTGGTTTGGCGGCCAGGGACCAACTCTTCTTAATTAGATACTAAATTTATTAGTACTTAATTATATAGTAGTACTTAGGGCCCTATTACTTAATTATTTAATATTACTATGCAATCATATAATCATTTGTTATCCGTCAAAAATAATGCTTGCAGTTTGTGCATAAGTGGTTGAAATCTTCCTTTACCAGAATAGTACATATCGTGCATTTAGATTTTTGTAATTCTAAATATTCTTTTGGTTCAAAGTTTCTAGCATATTGATGACTCGTCGTACTTAAAAAAAAAATTAAACGTTATACAATTATATGAAATTGACAAATGGTAGCACTATCTTTCTTTCATAATAAAGGAAAAACAAAAACAAAAAAAAAACTGATTTTCTTGAACCATATGAAAGAAGAAGTTATAAATGGTACATTTTCTCGTAGCTGTAAGCGTGTAACAATTAATACTTGTGTGTGGGCTACTATCGGGATTAGGGGGTAACTGGTAAGGTAAAATTTAATTGAGTCTATATAGTTATAAAACACTATACAAAAGTGATAGCCAACACACAATGGAGGAGTATTAGATTATAGACATAAAAATAGGGATAAATAATGTGTATAGGATGGTTAACCTAACTTTGGTTGGACGAGTATAGCCGACAAAGGCATTATTGGGAAGGGCCAAAACAAATAACAAAGCTGAGACCGAACTCGATGAAAGGTTACACATCAACTTTCTTTGTCAATTAATCTAAAGATTTATTTTTATGATTGACGAATCATATTCCACCACCTCATCCTTTCTAGTTCTACCCACTTCTCTTGATATTTCTGATGTAACGTCAGGTAACCAAACGAAAAGGTGAACAAACATTTCGTTTACAACAATATATCTGGATCATCTAGTGTAAAAGAGTTTGAATCCAGGTCATGTAAGAATACTTGTTAATTTAAACTCCATACATGTTTTTTCTCAAACTCCTATTAGCTAAAATTTATTTCTATAAGTTACATTGGTAAATCAGTTTTTATCGTAAACGAGAATTTGAAATAATATAAGTTGAGAGATACTTTATAATTTTAAGATAAGAGCATACATTAGGTTTGAGATTAAGGGTCCAACCAAATAATCAGTATGGTGATGAATTGCCTTGTTTTTATATTTTCGGAAATAAATTATATGCCTAACTCTTTCCAAAAGTAAAAATTAATTGGTGAATGAGATCAAGAGAACCAAACCTAAACAAGATGGTGGGGATCACTATCCATATGTATAGAATCAGAAGCAATTAATTAAAATATATAAGATCTAGTTAAATAAATGAATGAAACATCAAGGGCCAATGTGTTTGTGTGATATGAAAACAAAAGAGAGGCTGAAGATGGGTAGGTAAACTGACATGTGGTCCGCTATTTAAAGGCACTTCTTAATCACTTTCTAAATACTATTTATAGTTATATGTTCTTGTATACATTTATAGATTTTCCAATTACATTTATTTTATTAAATTGTGAATATTACAGATTCTTCGTGATAGAAACTATGAGAATCTGTGTGTTTTATTATTTTAGGGACTTAAAATAGAAATTACACACAAAAAGTTACAAATAGAGAGTTGGAATGGTTGAAATTATCAGTTTATATTTGGAGAGACTGGAGGAGTTAGAGAATCACTTTTCCCATCCAAACTAGTACTAATTGCACCATAAAAATTGAGTCATGACTAAAGATTTAATGACAAAATCTAAAATACTATGCCGACTCAACTAATGATACAAGAGAAATGATGAATGATGATTCATTTAAGTTATAATATTAAATTCATATTGATGATATCATAATTCTACCAAATATAAAATCATTTTAACTTTTTGGGAACTTTTCTCTTAGTGGGAAGAACAGTAGCAAGTGCCAAGTGGGATGCTCACTTGGTCAACCTTTGCAAGTTAGAAAAATGAAAGGAGAAAGAATTGTGCCGTCATAATTTCTCACATTATTCTTTTTCAGAAAAAAATAAATAAAAAAATATCAAGAAATAAACATTCCTTTTCCACAAAACCAAATAAATCATTCCTTTGATTAATAATTATTAGCCATCCACCCACCCATCAATTTTTTTTTTTAAATAACAAAATTGAAAGGAAAGAAAAGAAAAGTACTTCTCTTCTCCTTCTTAAGAAGCCTCCTGGCTTCATCTCCTCCCATTATCTTCTAAACTTCACCAAAAAAAATCATTTATTTTCTCCATAAGTCCCAGCTCTCCAAATCTCAAAGATTGTTGTTAAATCGATAAGTCTGTTTTTCTTTTTCACTTTTACTCAGATGGGTTTCGATGATTCATGCAACACAGGTCTTGTTCTTGGATTAAGTCTCTCACCAACTCCCAATAATTACAATAATGCAACCAAGCGATCCTCTGGTTTCAAACTCGAACCGTCGTTGACTCTAAGCCTCTCTGGAGATCCCTCGGTGACGGTTGTCACCGGAGCTGACCAGCTCTGCCGTCAGACGTCGTCTCACAGCGGAGTCTCTTCTTTCTCAACTGGAAGGGTGGTGAAGAGAGAGAGAGACGGCGGAGAAGATTCACCGGAGGAGGATGAGACGACGGAGAGAGTTATAAGTGACTATCATGAAGACGAAGAAGGCGTTAGCGCTAGAAAAAAACTTAGGCTTACAAAAGAACAATCTGCTCTTCTTGAGGATAGCTTCAAGCATCATAGCACTCTTAATCCCGTAATTATCCTTACTCTTAATACTCTTTTATACGTTACTAATCACTTTTGGTGATTCTGATATAAAAATCTGGATTCCTTTTTTGTTTTATCTACAGAAGCAAAAGCAAGTTCTGGCTAGACAGCTGAATCTAAGGCCTAGACAAGTTGAAGTATGGTTTCAAAATAGAAGAGCCAGGTAAATTTTACTTATTCTGTTTTTTCAAAGTATTTGAATTTTTTTCATTAGTCTGAAATTTTCTGTTGATATTTTAAAATTATAGGAAAAGGATTTCCATTAATAAATCATAACATGTTTATTTAATTAATTCTGAGCAGGACAAAGCTGAAGCAAACAGAAGTAGATTGTGAGTTTTTGAAGAAATGTTGTGAAACATTAACGGATGAGAACATAAGACTTCAGAAAGAGATTCAAGAACTCAAAACCCTAAAACTGACTCATCAGCCCTTTTACATGCACATGCCTGCCTCGACTCTCACGATGTGTCCTTCATGTGAGAGAATTGGTGGCGGCGGTGGCGATAACGTAGGAGGAGGTGTCGGAGGTGGTGGAAGCGTGGCTACCACGGTGGTCATCGATGGAGGTACGGCGAAGGGAGCTTTCTCTATCTCGTCAAAGCCTCACTTCTTCAACCCTTTTACCAATCCGTCTGCAGCTTGTTGAATAATAGTATATGGTTTTTCATGTTACTTAAATATTACTTATTTTTTTCCGATGGCATTTTAATTAGTAGGAAGAACACAAAAAATATGTTAGAAAGGGTAAGATGGGTATAGATGGTCTCCTCTACAATTCCGACTTTGTTTTTCAGTGGGATTGTTGGTTTGGGAAAAAAAAATAGTTTGTAATTATTATTTTATTTGTAGAAAAAAAGGTAATAGTATTCACTCTGAATTTATCCATCTTATTTTCTCACCGTTAAATTTAATCTAGGAAAGTAATCATGTTTTCAATCATAAATAAAAAAATACAAATATACATGAGAATCTTATCATGCAATCAGCAGATTTATTACTTTCTTTCTATGATGTATTTAACTTTTATCAGACAGATAATATATATTGATCTTAATAACCGAAAAAAAAAATCTATAACGTATGATATTTTAAACGGACTAGTAAATCGAAATCGAAAACTTTATACTCTAAAATACGACGTCTATCTAACGGTAGGTCATATTTTACATCACGTTAAACGATCAATACATTTTCTTTTGATCTTTCCTATTATATTGTATGACCTTTCAAGCTTGTATAATCTTCATTGGATTATTTCCACAAGAAGAAAAAAATCTTGTATTATAACATGTGGAAATATCTGCTAAGACTTCATCATAACAAAACAAATCTTACAAATTAGCTAAAGGTCCATTCATCATTCATCTAAACAAGGCATTGGTACCAACTTGGTTTGTTTATCAACTCTTGAACCCAAAAATGGAAAGGGAAATTGATGGAAATATTTTTTCCCCACCCATAATTAATGTTATATATAAAATACTACTACACTGACGGGAAATCCACAACTTTGAAAAGAGTATATAATTTCAGTAGGCCCAAACTTTGCCCTTTTAAGTAAAATCCAAAAGTGAGTTGTGGAATCAGATTAAAAACGCATTAAATTGATGTGAAAGTAATTCTTTCACTCCAAAATATAATTTATTTATGGATTATCCAAAGAGAATTTTCGATAGAAAAAATGGAAATCATTTGATGGGTGTGAAGGATTTTAAGCGAGAGAGATAAAGGGTGTGGGGCTTGGAGGTTAGCTCACGTGTATTCATGCATCACTTTAAATTAATTTTCTGATTAAAACTTTTCAAATTTTAAAAGTAACTTGAATACATGAATTATACAAACAATAAAAATAATAGTACTGATTTTGTATTAATATACTTTTATTGCGGGTACCATACCTTTCTTTAAAAATCACCGCAATAGAATGAACATGAGCAATATTGTAGTTATTGAAATAAACTTTCTGTCTCCAACAATATATAAAAGTACATAAAATGTAAACAGCAAATAAATATTATTATGATTCGTAGGTTTTATGCCTTGGCCAATTTGTTTATAGATTGGCGAGATTGAGATACCTCATCTTACAATTAGCCAAGTTTTATAACAAACGAAATGCGTGATGCTAATAGAAAAAAAAAAACATCATGATGAAAATGAAATTTGGTAATCTGATACCAATGATTAAAATTAATCTAACGGTTTGTACCTTTTTGCCATCTATTATCATATACCTCATATTTAAATTTTGAAGTGTGCATGTGTGAGAAGTAAACGTTAAAAAAGGCCAAAGAAATTAATGTTTTTCTGGCCAAGAAGTAATCAAATGATATATAGCAATTTTTTTTTATTTTTTTTTTTTTTTAAGATGGAAACAAATGGAACAACGAGCATTAAGTTTGGAAGAGTACCGTGAAGTGGTGAGATGCTCTAATCTTAACGGGGGTAAGGTGGGGCATGCTTCACGTGATTTTCTCTTCAAATTTTCCTACGTACCATTCTATGAAGATATTGAATTATTTGCCTTTTCATATAGTACTTTATTATTTACATGATGTATTTGAAATTCGGATTTAAAAATAATGATATCTCGCAATATTATTAGAACTGAAAATTAGGTGGGATGAATAGTTGTTAAGAATAAGTTTGGTGTCTCTCTATTTCGCTTATGTCGTTTGTTAGTCCATCAATCACAAACGACCTTTGGGAGTGTGATTAGGATTCCGATCCAACTAGGATAAAGTCTTTTAAACATCACTAAATTTATTCGTAACTGATCAGAAAGTGAGGAGTTATAAATCAATTGTAGACTTCATAACAATGTGTAATACAACTATACTATCAAAACACGGATTATACGTAAATTCTAATTATAAAAATCGAAGTTCCAATCTCATAACAATAACACCCTAAGTATTATGATTAGGTCAAGGATTACATTTATTTTAAGTTATTGCTTACGCTAGTAATTGTATTGTGTTTGGTGGATTAATTATTTGAAGTCCCTATTAATGATTGATAGATCTCATTTACGTGTGCACGCACGTAATTAGCTTATTAAGAACAGCATAAGACATGTGTCATTTGCTGGTTAGATTGTCGGTTTGTCGACTTCTTGTTTCACACTTTTTCATATATTTTTTAATTTAATCACCACCAATCTCAGATCACAGCATACTAAAAACAATTAGCCCGTATTAGCAAATTTTAGAAGTTAACTAACTTGTTTGTTGATGGGCCCTATGGACGTATGGTTGCTGTTCCAAAAACAATAAAGGCCCATAGTTAAGCTAATTCCCTTACCGGCCCACAATTATTGTGGCCTAAGAGAAAGAAGATACGACGTCGTTAGAAACTGTCGGTGTCTTGAGAAGAAGCGAAACGACGACGTTCACAACCAGAGTCACATGGCCTCCTCCTACATTGCTTTCAAGTGTAAAAAGCTCTATTTTTTCGCTCTAATAAAATATTTTTTTTTGAAAAAAAAGAGAATTATTTAAGCTTTCTCTGGAGATTGAAGGGACGCACGATTTTAGTGGCAATCTAACAGGAACACTACTCTCTCTCTCTTTCATTCTCTCCAGATCCAAATCCCAAGTCGCATTCATACTTTCTTCAATAAAAAATCGTTCCTTTGTCTTCATCTTTCTGTTTTCCCAGAAAAAGAAAGATCTCACATTCAAAAGCTGCTCACTTTGATTTGCCCCTTTCCTGGTAAGCTTAAAGTTCCCATTTTTATCGATTTTTGTTTACGAATTTGTTCATTTTTAGTATAAGTATTGTTATTGAATTCGATTAATTGCTTAGATAGATCCGATAGAGAACAATTTTGGATTTAATTGTGTAAATGATTAGTTTTTGGATGAAAATTTAAGCGAGATCTGAGATTTGGGAATTGGTTTTGTTTCTCTTGAATAGGTTGTTGTTTGTGGTGGTAACGAGATGTTTAGATCTTCACCAAGAAGAGGACAGAGATCAAAAGGCTTCAAAGTGAAGCATTGTATACAATTGACTCTGCTACTTGGAGTGGGGATATGGTTGCTTTACCAAGTGAAGCATTCTCATGAGAAGAAAGCTCAGTTTGAAGAGACTTCAAAGATTGCTGTTGGAGGAGGAGATGATAAAAGTGTGAAGCTTGGGAGGAAAGATCTTAATCCGATTGTGAAGGAGGAGGAGGAAGAAGAAGTTAGGGATGAAGGAGGGAGTAGGACTGTTGTTGAGAGTTTCAATGGTGGAGGAGATGATGGTAAAGAGAATGAGATTAGAGATGAGAGTGGTAAGAATGATGAGGTTGTTGTAGAGGAGAGTAAGGAGGAGAGTGAAGAGAGCAAGGAGAAGGAGATTTTAGGGATTGTGAACGAGGATTCGAATAGTGAAGAGAGCGAGGTTGAGGCGAAGAAAGACAATGGCGGTGTAGAAGAGAACGAGGAGAGTAAAGAGAAGAGTGTTACAGAAGAGAGTGAGATTATTGAGGAGAAGAAAGAAAATGGTGGCAGTGAAGAGAGTGAGATTGAAGAGAAGAAAGAAAATGTCGGTAGAGAAGAGACTGAGAGCGAGGAGGGTAAAGAGAAGAGTGGTGCAGAAGAGAGGGAGAGCGAGGAGAGTAAAGAGAAGGTGACGGATGAGAGTGAAGGGTCGGTAGATAAGGAGAAGGAGAAGAATGGTAGTGAAGAAGCAAGAGAGAATAATTACAAAGGAGATGATGCTTCGAGTGAGGTAGTCCATGAGACAGAGGAGAAGGCTAGTGAGGTCACAGAGAAAGTGGAACCAGAGGAAGAAAAGTCTGTAATCAAGACTGAAGAAGGGGAAGATTCTGTGATCAAGAGTGTTTTGACTGATAATGGAGGAGGAAGCAGCAGTGATGAGAACAACACTGGTGGTGGTGGTTCATCGTCTGAGTCGGATTCATCGAGTGAGATAAAGTCTGAAGGTGAATCTATGGAGAAGAATGAGTTGGTGGAGCAAGCTTCTAATGATTCTAATGGTGAGACAGATAAGAAGAACAGTCTGGAGGAGACCGAGAAATCCACCGGCTCTGGAGATGGAAGCTCTCAAGAGACGGCGAAAGAAGAAGATGAGAAAGAGAAAGTAGAATCTTCTGAAACTAAAGAGAAGGAGACAGAGACAAAAGAGAAAGAAGAGTCTTCGTCTCAAGAGGAAACTACTAAAGATGGAGAAACTGAGACTAAGGAGAAGGAAGAGTCTTCGTCTCAAGAGAAAAGCGAAGACAAGGGAGAAATTGAAAAGATTGAGAAAGTAGAAGAGTCTTCTTCACAAGAGGAAACCAAAGAGAAAGAAGAGTCTTCATCCCAAGAAGAAGCTAAAGACAAAGAGACTGAGACAAAGGAGACAGATGAGTCTTCGTCGCAAGAGAAAGCTGAAGAAAAGGAAACAGAGAAGATTGAGAAAGTAGAGGAGTCTTCTTCTCAAGAGAAAGGGGAAGACAATGGAATAGAGAAAATTGAGAAAGAAGAGTCTTCGTCCCAAGAGAAAAGTGAAGACAATGGAATAGAGAAGATTGAGAAGGAAGAGTCATCTTCCAACGATTCACAAGAAAGTGAGAAGAAGAGTGATGAAGAGACGAGTGAATCCAGCAAAGAAAATGGCAATTCAGAGACTGAACAAAAGCAACCAGAGGAAACTTCACAAACAGAGTCAGAGAAAGAGGAAAGCAACAAGAATGGTGAGACAGAGGTGGAGGTGGTGACTCAGAACGATCAAGAACATTCTGATTCTTCTTCGGATAATAGTCTACCTCAAGAAGTGACGGATGTTCGTACTGATCTTGAAACTCTTCCTGATTCTGGTAATGGAGGAAACAATGAGAGCGTTTCAGCTGAGTAAAATCTCTTCAGGTTTTATCAAATCCTCTCATTGGTGTTGTTTAGTAGAGATTTTACGAATTGAATTTGTGTCATGTAATTTGTTGTAATCTCTTTTACATATTGTGGGGTAATTCCCAAAGCATAAGCTGTAGTTTTTTTTTTTTTTTTTACTGTACCGAACACAATTTTTTTCTCCTCGGTTTTGTCTTTAGAAACAAATTCTTGAAACTTCATTACCTCATGAAGACAGATGTTAGAGACTCAGAAAGATCTTATTAGACTTTTTTTATCAAACACTGTACGGAATTTCGTGCTTATCAAGTTACAGTATATTAATAGGGTTTTGTTATAGACTTTCGTGCTTAAGAAGAAACTCAAGTCTCTCTCAAGTGCGAAAATCTGAAAAGAATATTACTCGATAATTTTATCAAGTCTCAACAATATAGAGTCTAAACCCGAACTCAGTGGAGAGTTTTCCGAGAGAATATGAGCCATAACTTGTTATCTAAGCTTGAAAGATGGATAATATTGTTTTACGATTGTAGACTGTTGTCATAGTGTTAATATGTTCATTTCAGACTCAATTATCATGTTACCAGAATAAATCCAAGGCCAAGAAGACAGTTACATTTCTGGTCACGAGATTCGAGCAAAGATTAGCTTATTACTACTACCAAAACGACAGTTACTTTTTTTTGGTCAAAGGTTTGAATATAATTTATCATATTACCAAAATATTTCCATCACCAGGGAAATGGTCAAAAGGTTTGAACTAAATTATCATTTACCAAACAAAGAAATACATCATTACAAAAAAATTATATGAGGACTCCTTCTCCAAATCCCAAAAACACGAACCAAACAAACAAATGTTCACGTCTACTACACCAAATGTTGTGCATCTAAAATTGTCTTAGTGCATTTCCCAGTTATCATCAACTAAATATGTTATTAATACAGCCAATAACCAATAACTAAATCGATACACTAAGCATAATGTAATCCAAAAACAAAAAATTAACTAGAAAATAATGTTCATCTAACACATACTACGACATTAGAAATGTACATGAACTATAACTGATCCAACGGTCATAGAACTCTCACGGCTCTTGAGTAACCAGCAAATGTCTTAACGTAGTCACTTCACTGAGTTTCTTCTGATCATCTTCTTCTTCTTCCGTACACTTGTCTCGCTCCCCTTCGTCAATCCCATCACACGTGTGCTCCGTCGAGTCACACGTGTCTCGACGTACGCCGTCCATCATCATCATATCGCGAACCTCGTCGTCCGTCCATCCAGCTTCTCTCAGCTTCCAAAACGCGTCGTCCAAACACGCCTTTAGCCTCTCATCGTCACAACCGCTCCACCACCCGCGCGTGGGAACACGCTCCACCGCCATAACCGTCGTCTTACTCCCTCTCTCCGCCACGTCACTCCAAAACTCCACTCTCCGTTGTCGCGAACAACGTCGATACTCCGCTCGGTTCAGTCCCTGGAGAAATCCGACGACGTCGCAGCTCAGAACCTTAACTCCGTCGCCGTCGACTTGAAACACGGGATTTCCCGCTAAATTCGGCGTCGTCGAAGGGACGTAGAAATTGCCGTAGACCGGAACGAGAACCGGAGCGATTTCCATCAGTTTCTTCACGAGAGACATAGCCTCCGCGTCGGATCCGGGTCGGGTTCCCCATGAATCGACCCAGAATCCGTTTCTGATAACAATATTGCTTACATGAAGAAGAGGGAATTTGAATAAGAAAAAGAGACTATTCCGGGTCGACCCGGATCGCCAATTGGGGAATTCGGCACCCACCGGAAGACCCGCTTGAAGAATCGAGCGGAGATCAAGAGGGAAGGAGAAACCAAGAGAAGATTCAACGGCTGAGATCTCTTGATTGGTGAGCCCAGGTGAAACTTCGAGACCGGTCAGAGATTTCAAATGGTTAATTGTGGTTTGGCTATAAACCGGTAACGGAGGCTTAGCGGAGGATCGAAAAGGATCAGTGGTAATGTGGCCAAGCGGGCTAATTATTCCGGCGAGACGATGATTCATCTTTGAAATATTGTTTTAGCAGAAACTAGTCAAAATGGATTAAATATGTAAGGGAGAGAATCAAAATCTAACTTTTCTTAACAAGTTAAATATAAAATTGTAAGAATGATTATAGAAAGTTGCGTTAATTAGGAAGAATTGTGATGTTTCTATAATACGGTGAAGTGCATTAGAGGGAACTAAATACACGTAGATCATCTTACTAAGGTATCATATCTACGTCTGAATCTTACAGCAAATATTAGCTTGTAGCTACAAAATTCAAAATAATTAAATTATTGAAAATATTGTAAACACTAGTATATAATATTTTTTGATGATAAAAAGTTTAGAATGATTAAAAACATGTTTGGTTTCAAAATATTGATTAGGTAGGATTTTAAGCAGATGATTAAAAGTTAATCTTCCTTTTTGGATTTTGTTTCTGTACTTTATTTAGTGAGATTCGATCTGTTCAGCTTTTGGTATCCAAAATATTTGTCATTCAAGACAGAATGTGTCGGATTTGAGTCTCATGTGTGTTGTTCTTGTCCTATGTTTAGATGTGATTTAACTTTGGGATTCTAGCAGAAGTGAGGATATTGTGTAGAAAGAGCGTGATTAAAGCCCATGATATTGTGTAGAAAGAGCGTAATTTCTTACATATTCGATACGAGCTTTCACAAGAAACAATTTTTTGAACCCGTCTGTATATGTAATCTCTCACACAAACAAGAAAAACGATTAATAACCAGACATTGTCACATAGGCAAAGCCAAATTTGATAAAACAAAAGAAGTTCAAATGCAGAAAGAACAATGGAAACCGCAAAAACACACAATAGAAAGCATTCAGATATTGAAAACAGTACGAGAGAGGAAGACGAAACAAAAGAAAAGGAATCTAATAGCTTTGGGATCGATCAAAGCTTTGTATCACAAGAACTCTAAACGTAAACAAGACACAAGAATATTTGGGTAGTTAAGACTACCTCTTTTTTTGGTTTTTCATTTTCTTAAACGGACAAAGTACAAGAAGCAAATAACTGTAAATGGAGTCACGACTCCTACATTGCAGGAAATGGGAAAGTGGAGAACATGGTTCTCTTATTTGCAAACTGAAACAAATAAAACAGAAAAGGACGTGGCCTGGTTGATCTTCTTGTCAACTCCACTTTTAGTACTCATCTCCTTCTTCTTCCTCACCATCATCACCTTCAGCACCAACTTCCTCATAATCCTTCTCAAGAGCAGCAAGATCCTCACGAGCCTCAGAGAACTCACCTTCCTCCATACCTTCACCAACATACCAATGCACAAAGGCTCTCTTCGCATACATGAGATCAAACTTGTGATCAATCCTCGAGAACACTTCCGCCACACTCGTCGAGTTCGAGATCATACACACAGCTCTCTGCACTTTCGCGAGATCACCACCGGGGACAACAGTCGGAGGCTGGTAGTTGATCCCGCATTTGAAACCAGTGGGACACCAATCCACGAACTGAATCGTCCGTTTCGTCTTGATGGTTCCAACCGCAGCGTTCACATCCTTGGGAACAACGTCTCCTCTGTACATCAAACAGCACGCCATGTACTTCCCGTGGCGTGGGTCGCACTTAGCCATCATAGAGGAAGGCTCGAACGCGGTGTTTGTGATCTCCGCAACTGAGAGCTGCTCGTGGTAGGCTTTCTCAGCTGAGATCACAGGAGCGTAGGAGGAGAGCATGAAGTGGATTCTTGGGTATGGAACCAAGTTGGTTTGGAACTCGGTGACGTCCACGTTCAAGGCACCGTCGAATCTGAGAGAAGCAGTGAGCGATGAGATCACCTGAGAGACTAGACGGTTCAGGTTGGTGTAAGTGGGACGCTCGATGTCGAGGGAGCGTCTACAGATATCGTAGATGGCTTCGTTGTCGAGCAAGACGGAGACGTCCGTGTGTTCGAGGAGAGAGTGAGTGGAGAGGACACTGTTGTATGGCTCGACGACGGAGGTGGAGACCTGTGGCGATGGGTACACTGTGAATCCAAGTTTGGATTTTTTGCCGTAGTCTACAGAGAGACGCTCTAGCAAGAGAGATCCAAGACCTGAACCGGTACCACCACCAACAGCGTTGAACACGAGGAAGCCTTGAAGACCGGTACAGTTATCAGCTAGCTTGCGGATACGGTCCAAGCAGAGATCAACAATCTCTTTCCCAACTGTTAGCAAAAACAAAAGCAACAATAAAGAATCAGAATGAATGTTTATTTTGGTTCATTGAATCTGTAAGATGAGATTGGTTTTACTTACTGGTGTAATGGCCACGAGCGAAATTGTTGGCAGCATCTTCTTTGCCGCTAATGAGTTGCTCTGGGTGGAAGAGCTGACGGTAAGTACCAGTCCTGATTTCATCGATCACAGTTGGCTCCAAATCGACGAACACAGCACGAGGGACGTGTTTCCCAGCACCGGTTTCACTGAAGAAGGTGTTGAACGCATCGTCACCTCCTCCTACGGTCTTGTCACTTGGCATTTGACCGTCAGGCTACACATCAACAGAGCAAAAAGAGAAGAAAAAGATTAGTCGGAGAAGACGAATTCAACGCATGAAAATGTTTCAATACACCACAAAACAAAAAAAAAAAAACAAAAAATCTTCATATAGATCTACAAGTTCAAATGTTTATCTCTAGATGTGGCATAATCACAAACATGTATCATGTATCTATATAGTTTCGTAGCTTTTCCTCTAGATCTACTTGTCTCCGATCAATATAAGCCGAAGTTATACGATCAAAGGAAGGAAACAGCTACGAAATCACAGAGATCGAATCAGATGAATAATGAACTTGACTATCAGAGACGAAGAATTCAGATCCAGCAAAAGTCAAAAGCAGTACGATAGAAAATATAAGACATTATCCAGAATCTAAAATATGAATCTCAACAGAAGTAATGATATAACCAAAAGTTTCGAAGTCAAAATGTTCTCAATATTATCCCTAGATCTAGCCATTTGGAGACCGATAAGCCAAAATTACAGCTACACAGGAAGGAAATAGCTACGGAATCACATAGATCTAATCAGATGAATAATGAAACTGGATATCGTAGACGAAAATGCAGAAATGAAGAACTCAGATCCAGCGAAATAAAAAACCAGTCCAATGATAGAAAATCTAACACACTATCCAGAATCTGGATCTGCTACAATGGAGAGAGGAATTGCGTTATACCTGAATGCCATGCTCGAGGCAGTAAAGCTCCCAGCAAGAGTTTCCGACTTGGATTCCGGCTTGACCAATGTGGATCGAGATACACTCCCTCATTTTGCTTACGACGGCGAGAAAATCCGAACAACGACGAGAGAAAAAATTTCGAAAATCGAAGCTGCGTTTATTAAGACGCAATGGGAATGAATACTGAGCGAATCTGGGCGAGTCTCGTTTATTTATGGAGAGGAAGAAGAAGCACTCCGTTTTCTAACCTAGGTAAATAACTAACTATAGTTAAGCTAAAATATGCCAATCAAACGGATCTATATTTAACGACGGTTAAATTAGTTTGCCTCGATGTCAAGTGATTCCAAATTTTTTGAAATTTGAAACCGGCGTAAGTTAGAAGAAACAAGTCCGGATTTTCTGGTTTTTGAAGATATTTTTTCTATTATTGTTTAATGTGTATTTAAGACGCCTGTTCTTTTGTAAAGTTGAAGTGACAATAATTATTGGGCCTGTTTGAAAAAAGCCTAGCCCATCAAGCACAAAAACCCTGTCAGTTAAATTTTGTATTATCCGAATTCGGAAATACAGCTGACAAAAAAAAAATGCAGAACATGAAAGATATATTTTTAAAAATGGAAAATGTTAATTTTGTGATATGAATCGAGAAGAAGACGTAAAAAGGAAGAAGATAAGCTCTGTTCTCGCCACGCTTCCCGATACATCGAACCATTTTGACGTCATCTTCCTCTTCATCTTTAACCTCCATCACTATATAAACTTCCAAATTCCATAGTTCCCGATTCGCCTTCATTTTGATCGCTTAATCACATAACCGGAGACCATAATCGAAAAATTTAGCAGCTATGGATGCGAACCAACGAATCGCGAGAATCTCAGCTCATCTCAATCCTCCTAATCTCGATCAGGTTTGAAAATTCAATTTTAGATCCAAAATTCATCAGCTAGTAGTCAATTTGGTGATCGGAATTTTGGTTTCTGTTTCGAAATTGGGTTTAGATGGGTGGTGACGGGTCGGGTCTGAGACGGGTGGGTTGCCGGGCGAAAGGCGGATCTCCGGGATTCAAAGTGGCGATACTTGGAGCAGCCGGAGGGATCGGGCAGCCTCTTGCGATGTTGATGAAGATGAATCCTTTGGTTTCGGTTCTTCATCTCTACGATGTCGCTAATGCTCCTGGTGTTACTGCAGATATTAGTCACATGGACACCAGTGCCGTCGTAAGTTCTAAATTTCTAGAATTTGATGCTTTGAGCTATGAACAATGAGCTTGATCATGGACAATAGTGCTCTCCTAAGCTCAAAACTATAGATTTCGTGAGCTCTGTTTCGGAATTGGTTTTTAGATGATGGTTTAGTAGATAAATTTTTTTTGATACGATTGATTGATTAGGTACGATCACTGAGCTCAAAATCATGGACATTAGTTCCATCGTAAGCTCTTCTTGAATTTGATTCGAGATTTGATACTTAGATAATGATGATGAGCTCAAGATCATGGACACTAGCTCTAGTCTAAGTTCAAAAGTTTTAAGGTTTTTGATTCAAAATTGGTACTTAGATGATGGTTTGGTAGAGAAGTTGTATTGAATCTTTTGATACATAAAGTTCAAGGGATAAAGAAAAATAAGCTCAACATCATGGACAGTAATAAGGCTTTGATTCGAAAATGCTACTTTGATGATGAACAAAGAAATTTGAGCTCAAGATCATGAACACTAGTGCCGTTGTAAGTTCGAAATTAGAGAGCCTTAAAGGCTTTGATTTTGAAAATGGTACTTACATGATGCTTAGTAGTGACATTGTTTGATACAAAATAGTTGAAGAGCTAAGAACACTGAGCTCAAAATCGTATTATAATGTCAAATCCTGAGTGAAAAGCTGAGATTTTTGCCAAACTTGTTTTAGGTTCGTGGATTTCTCGGGCAACCGCAACTAGAGGAAGCACTTACGGGTATGGATCTAGTGATTATACCTGCTGGTGTTCCGAGGAAACCAGGGATGACAAGAGATGATCTATTCAACATTAACGCTGGCATCGTGAGGACACTTTCTGAAGCTATAGCTAAATGTTGTCCTAAGGCAGTCGTGAATATAATCAGTAATCCGGTGAACTCCACGGTGCCAATCGCAGCTGAGGTTTTCAAGAAAGCTGGAACCTTTGATCCAAAGAAACTCATGGGAGTCACAATGCTTGATGTTGTCAGAGCTAACACTTTTGTGGTATGCACTCATAAACATTTCTCTTTCAGTATGAATTTGCATCTTTTGATATGAATTTTGCATAAACAGGCGGAAGTAATGAGTCTTGATCCCCGAGAAGTTGATGTTCCGGTTGTTGGAGGACACGCAGGAGTTACAATCTTACCGTTGCTTTCTCAGGTTTAAGATGATTCATTGTTATGTTTGTTCAAAAATGGTATTGTGTTCTCATCATTATGTCTGCTATACAGGTGAAACCTCCTTGCTCGTTCACTCAAAAAGAGATTGAGTATCTCACAGACCGAATCCAAAACGGTGGCACTGAAGTTGTCGAGGTATGAACAGTTCCTTTTCAGGTTTCTTTGCCATTTTAACTTCGAATCATAACCGTCTAAATCAATTTTGCAGGCTAAAGCTGGGGCAGGTTCTGCAACACTATCCATGGTAGGTCTCTGTTGTAACATGATCAGTTTCAGATATTTTGCTTTATATTTCGATCTCTCAACACGTTGACTGCAAAATACAGGCTTACGCAGCAGTGAAGTTCGCAGATGCTTGCCTCAGGGGACTACGAGGCGATGCAAACATTGTCGAGTGCGCATTTGTATCATCTCATGTATAGTCCTTCTAAACATCATCTGTATAATGTATCCATAATCTTTGCTTAAGCCTTGGTTACATTGTGTGATTCCTCATGCAGGTGACTGAGCTTCCGTTCTTCGCATCAAAGGTGCGTCTGGGACGAAGTGGGATCGATGAAGTGTATGGTCTTGGACCATTGAATGAATACGAGAGGTGAAAAGTCGAAATCTTTATTGAATTTACTTCGACTTAGACCTGTTTTTATGTTCATTCATATGATTTTTTCGCGCTTTTTCTGCTGTTTGAGCAGGATTGGATTAGAGAAGGCGAAGAAAGAGCTTGGAGGAAGTATTGAGAAAGGTGTTACCTTTGTGAAGAAGTAGAGAGAAACTGAATTATACTATATATCAATAAAGAGTTGATTTTCTCATTTGAATAGTGATGGTTTTTGGAATAAGAACAATGCCTTCGCAATAAAAGCTCTTGCGATTTGCGAGTAGCCTGATCTTAAAGATAACTCGTCTCCTTTAGCTAAAATTTTCGATTGTTTTAATCGTTCCCGCGCAAATGCAACCACTCTGTTCTTAGGTTATCAAAGTCAGAAACAGAGCAATAATCTTGAGTCTGTATATTCTTCTTCTTGACATGTTCCTTCAAGTGTTTTTTTTTGTTCGTTTTATATCTCAACCATTTAGTAACATATAAAAGAAAACACACGAACGAGAACTGGTCAAACACTATATTGTGGGAATTTGGTTAAGTGGAGAAAAAAGATTTGTTGAAAAAATTTCCTCCACCAATCTAAAAAATACAAATATACCTACTTGAATTGTAACCCTAAACTAAAACCTCAAAGATGAGTGCAAGAGTAAGTAAAGAAAACTCTAGAACTAAGAAGCATATATAAACAAGAAAATAAATATATGACCGAGTGGCTACATAATTTCCTCTCCTACCCTTTGATCTGCCATTCCCACTTCTCACATTCACTCTCTAAGAAGAGTTTTAGGATTTCTAGGCAAGAAGATAAGGATTATCTAGAAAAAAGAGAGAAAGGACTATTAAATGTTCTAGAATAAGCTAGGTACCTAGCCACCACAAGTATAAATATTTAAGTGTTTGGTGGAATTTATAAAATCAATGTACAAATTAAGTAATTAACTAGTCTTGTACTATTTTTTTTTTTTAATACAATATAAAAGAGTATGGCTTGTATTCCTAATTGTCTTCAAGAGAAGAAGGATTGTGTATCTTTGTAACACTTTTGAATTCTTATGAATTTATGTGCTTTTTTTTTCTCTCATCTTTAACATCGAAACAAATATATCAACCATCTCTGAAATTATACATGCGCAACAACGTGGACCAAGTACTGTATCTAGTTATTTATTAATGATGAAAATCTTTTCTTGATTTTTACACCTTAGTTGCAAAATAATCATCAAATGGAGATTTCTTGTTCATCGAAGCGAATAAAAAACTCCTCTTCGGTCTTCATTATTAAATCACACCAATGATATTGGGAAAGAAAAAATCAAACCAATGATACAGCCATTATTAGGTACACATACTCATCCAGCTATTCCCACTTAACAAACGACAAAATCATATATCTCATGATTCTCATGCATTCCTCAGCTTTTATTATCCAACTACTCATAAAATAATTAAAAACGAGTGTTCTGATTGAGACTGGAGACCAAATCACACGTTTAACCGAGATTAACACAACTGTTATGATAAATATTATTCAGCTAAAGCAAGTCTTATGTTCTTGACGACATCTTCAATAGGTCGAGAAAATTTGTTGTCCATCTGCAAGAATATCATACAAAAAAAATATTACACTTTTGTATGAAAAAATCAATATGATAAAATCAAAAATAAAAGTCACATAGATATTTACCTTTGAGAGAATGGTGATAACGAGAGTTGAGTTTCCAAAAGGTAAGGCGAAACTATTAACTATTTCAAGACGTAACTTCTCCAAGGAACTCAATATCTTAATCAAACATCCTTTGTTCTTTTCACAATGAACTCTAATCAGCAAATCTCTGTCTGAAACTCGGGCTTCGATCATAGGCATGGTCTGTTTCAAGATCGAAACTTCGTCTAAAGAAGAAGACAGAGGAGGAGAAGCAGCTGAGCAAGTAGAAGAATAGGATGAAGAATCATCCTCCACAAAAACTTGAGATCTCTTCACCAATATAACTGATTGATCCATTTTCTTGGTTCCGATTCGTTCTTCCTCTAGCTTCTTTACCCGTTCTTGGAGTTGTTTCAAATGCTTGATCGCATCTTCAAGAACCGTTGCCTTGTCCGCCTACACACACACAAAAGGTTCATTGTGTCACCATCCATATTTTTGGAGTAGTGGGATCCACAAAGGAAAAAACAAAGATTTGAAATTTTTACAAGAAAACAAATTTGATAAAAAAAAACAATTTTTTCAAGAAAAAGAGTTTTCAGACTTTTGTAGTGTGCAAATGAAAACAGAAGACTTTTGTCTTTTTAAGTTTGGCGTTTACATTTACAACAAATGAATCTTGCTTAAGATATTAAAGGTTATAAAAAGTTGTAAAAAATATAACCCAAATAAATAATTACGTGCTAAACCGAATAAATAAATGGTTTATGGATTTAAACCTTTTTGAGGCCAGGAAGAAGAGCAGAGAGAGCAATCAAACGTTCATTGAGCTTTTGTCGGCGTTTTCGTTCAGCCAAAACATGTTCTTTCAAAAGTTGTGGCTCTCTTTTTCCTCCATTATTATTACCACAATCTTTTATTTTGGACCCCACTTTCTCCATGCTTGTTAGGTTGGAGAAGTTCAACGACGTCTCGACCACGTTGGTGGTCCGGTCCGGAGACCCGAAAGAGATCACTTGCGTAGCTGAGAGCGAACCACAAGAAGAAGAAGACGAGGGAGAAGAAGATGTTGACTTAACTTTGTTGGCGTTCGCTTTCTTTTTCTTTGCCGGTCTCTCAGGTGCCAACTCAAGCCCGGTTTTGGATCCGGACTCAGACCCCACCGGGTTCTGATGATCCGTAGTTTCTTCGGATATAAGGAAATCAGATTCCCAACCATCGACTAGATACTCGTCAGTGTCGATCATCAAGTCCATAATAAAGCTTGAATCTTCCATTTGCCTAAATGAATCACAGAAATGGTTTAGTACTCTTTCCTAAAATTTTTTTTTTTGAAAGAATAGAATGTGACAAGAAAACGAAAGAACAGAAAAGAAAAACCTTAGGAGAAAGTTCTGTGACTGTGAAGATAGTTTCTTTAATTATCAAGGTAAGTATGATTTTGTTTTGTTATGTGAATGTGGACGAGTGTACTCTTTATAGTGGTCTTAGACTGATTTGTGTACAATAATGTTTGATTTGTTTATCATTCTTTTGTATATAATATTATATCGGCCTGAAAAAAGCATATGCCTTAGCAAAAAAAATCGTTGACGAATCGTATATTCAAAGTTAGGCCTTTTAACCAAAACAAAATCTACAGATTCGAGCCTTGCATTATTATTAACTTTACTTTGGCTCGAAATGTCATGGAAATTGAATGTAGGGTATTGTTTTAGCTGAAATTTTGCAGTAAATGCGTGGAGATTTGCGTTGCTACAGAAGCGATGAGATCTAGCATTGGAAAACTAACATGATTTTTATTATTGATTCGTACGTAAATAAATGTATCCAAGTTGAGATGTAATTTTGAGAGTCTGTGAGGGAATGGAATGGCCGACCAAGCATCATGGAAGAATCAGATAAAATGTACGTATGTAGATCAAGAACATGAAAAATGGTAGACTAATATTTTATTGAATACTCTCCTTGTTAGAAAATTATTTGCTCTACTAATTTTTATATATAATAATAGGGGCTTGATGTAATCCATTAAAAAGGTTTAAGTTAGTACATAAAGAGAGGAATCATGTATAGCTCATCTTCAAAATCACTGTGAAAGAAAACGCCATTTAATGAATATTGCAATCCTTGGTAGCGGCAAAACCAAGTAAGAGGCGATAATCGACTTCGATGTATATATCCACTAAGTTTTCAACATTTTGCTGAAAATTAGTTCAAAAGTAATAGATTGATTATATAATCGGTGATGATAATTCAATAAGTTACTTTAGGATTAAAACATCAAGGCTATATGAAAATTAACTCCCACATGTTACTGCAATTAACGTGGTACATTGTAGGCCTTACAGATATTAAAGTTTATTGTGACCAATTTCCGAAAAATACTACTCCGAATCTGCATATACCTGTTAAAAACTATTTTGTTTTACCTATAAAATTAAATAATATAATCTATAGAAAGAAAACTAAAATAAAATCCTCCACTACGTAGATTTCGATTTTATGCTTATAAATAAAGAAAATAATTGAATCTATCTTGTGGAGCCACGAGAGGTTGAAGAATTAAGACACACTATATATAAATCCTACTTGTTCGTGCAATAATTTGTGGCTATCGTTGAATCTATCTGGACAAAATTATTAAATGACAACAATGACTTAAAAAATATTTGTGACATTATAGTTACAAAGATTAATTCACAGTATTACCCATCACACTCAATATAAACCCTACACGTACATAAATTTAGAATTTCTTAGTTTTTGACTGAAGTTTTAAAACAAGATCTCTGTGGCCGGTTGGTTCCTTGGCGCTGGACCACCAAACTTGTAGGACTCGTACTGATAGATATCGGTATATCTGGAGATAAGTCTTTATCTCAGCTTTGTGAGACTGACAAGAATAACGAATTGGATCCGAGTATTTGAGGTGATATCTACTCCCACTCCACATGTAACTACTTACGCATGTTATTTATTGTCATTGTCTGAATACTAAATGCAGACATTTATGATAATTCATAAATAAGTGAACCTTATCCCCCTACAAGAATCATATGAACCTCCTATATAATCCCTCGAGTTTTTTTTTAGAGTTAATTTGTTGTTAAACGTTTTTTCGCTTTTTGACTACATTTTTCAAATTTCAGTGTAAACTTTTATTCAATATACCTAACTCCAATAGTCAGGGCACAAAATTGTTAGTTACATATTTCATTGAAAAAAAAGGTTAGTTATATTTGCTCATAAAATCCACTCACACGTAGAAAAGATGAACAATGAAAAAATCCACTCGCGTATTAGACACGTACGCATACACCTAAAAGTAAATCAGTACCTGACGCATTAAGTTACTTACGTCGAGAAGTCATATCTGCTCTATTTTTTTTTTCTCATTTTTCTTTTGGTGACCGACAATACCGAACAAAATTTTAGATTAATATCACCAAAAATCATCCAATAATTTTTAACTTAATGTCTCATTCATGTTTTTATTTGCATTGTTTTGGTCGTTTTAATCGAAATTTTCTTTTTTGCTAAAGCTCTCATAAGCCATAAAATGATAGTTTTGGGTGAAATATTTTTCCACCAGAAACAAAATTCTCACTAAATTCTAGCTAGTTCTTTTACACTAAACTTCTTTTTTTTTTTGTTTTTAACAAACTGATATGACCAGCTTAATTAATAAAGTGGCAGACACAAAGAGCTCGCGTTGGTTATGACTTTTGAAGATATGTTGAAACTATCTGGTTAGACAAAAGTTATATCTAGTTCCTCTTCTTTTTTTTTCTTGCATGATTTGCATCCATTTAATGATTTACCACGTTTTAGATTGAAAGAATTTGAACCTAAATCCTTGGATCTGTCTATGAAGATAGTACACACGTGATTCTTGTGATCGCGCCTTTCTCGATCGATATCAAATGAGTTTCTTTTATTCGAAAATATATTATCAAGAAAAGTAGGTGAGTCATTGAAAAACTATTAATGGAGACAAGACATGTGTCAATCATCTCAAAATGAAATGTTTTGGTTCAAACTATAGTTGACCGTGTGGCTATTTAAAACAAATCGGAGATCATGGAAGATGAAAGAAATCGTAATATGCTTTATTTACTGACAATTAAGTTTACTCAATGCTCACTATTTGTTTTGAAAATCTACTAGTACACTTGCATGGTATTGAAGTTATTTTGAAGTAGTCATCTTTTCTATACATCAAACACGTGGTGGTAGTGCACGTGTGAAAACACCTACAATGAAAACGACACCAAATCGAGGAAAATGTTGTCGTTTTCAGTTTCCACAGCTGAATTAATGGCATCAATGTACATTCCGGTCACTAGAATTATTCCAAGAAGACTAAACCATTGCGAGTCTCAGGTTTCTTACAAGATCCTTAACTACACTAACGGCAAAACCTTTCTCCATCTGCAATTACAAGAAGATATTTGTTAATTATAAGTATCAGTTGAAAGATCTTTTAATTTAGCAAAAGAAATATTTCATATTTCATATAAAGTCACCTGTGCAATTACTGTGATGTCGAGAGTTGAGTCTCCGAATGGAAATATGATACTATCTTTGATGCGCAGTTGAAGATTCTCTATCGTGTGTAGTATTGATCATGCATCCTTTTCTCTTCTCGCAATGGATTCGGATTAGAACTTCTTTTTCGGATACTTTCGCTTCGATTTCTGGCAATGCTTGATCAAATATCTCATGATCTGATGGAGATGAAGACGAGAGGTAAGGTTCCTCTTCGAATAAAACCTTAGATTTCTTCACAATAATCATGGATTCCATTTCTCTTGTTGCTTCTTTCTCTTCATTAAGTTTACTTATTTGTTCTTGAAGTTGTTTCATACGTGAAATCGCGTCATCAAGAACCGTTATTTTGTCTGCCTGAGAGAAAAAAAAAAACATAAGAAGAGTATTCTCAAAACCAATTTGAATTAAAAAATTAGATTCATGATATTTCTATATATTACTATGTATCATTCTTCTTTTCATTATGAAATTACTAGTAAACACACATGATACAATATTTTTAACAGTTTCATTTTGCCATGAGGTTTTACCTTCTTAAGACCAGGAAGAAGAGCTGAAAGGGCAATGAACTTTTGGGAAAGCTTCTCACGACGCTTTCTCTCGGCTAGAACATGTTCTTTGGCTATAACCGGAGATCTTTTGGCAGGAGAAAACGCTTTTCTTTTGGTTCCACATCTAGCTAATCGATCCATGATGATCTCTTTCGGAGCTGGATCAGAAGAAGACATTTTACTAGAGAAATCGAAAGAAATCACTCGTGGCTTGTTGTTAATCTTCACCGTCTCCTTCGCTGCAGGCTTCGGCTTCTCGTTGAGGAAATCAAGATGCATTTGATGATCACAGTTTGATGAAAACTGAGCTCTTTGTGTACGCATGCTTGCTTCATTGGGTGATAGACTACATTCTTCGTAAAAATTAAAGTCGAAATCAATGTCTTCCAATGAGAAATCGGTTAAGAAGAAATCTTCATCCATGTCCGAATTTTGCAAGGACCAAGAATTAGAGATATGTGTTTTTTTTTTGTGTTTCCTAAAGTGTTTTATGAAAAGAAAGTGTTTTCAGGTATTGGTGTTTATATATTGACAGCGAGACGCGGCTTGTTTTTTTGTTTCCCACTCCTTCATTGCGTAATTTAGGTTGACCAGATTGTGTATAGATAATGCATAAAACGTGACATATATGTTAGAAATAATATTTTCGTATAAAATATAATTATCATGATCGAGTCTAAAAGTCTCTGATGATCGTATTATGTGTTGGCTTCATATATGAGGTCCAAGATCACAATGTTTGCCGTGTCAACAGGTAAAACTAAAACGCCGCAAGATAATCAAAAGATTGATTTAATAACAGATTTAGATATGATCTCAACTTTATAATATGAACACCTGGAAAAACATGTATATCATATCAGTGATATGATTATTATATTTTTCTTATAATAGCTTGTTGGAGAAGGTAGAAACTACATCAAATTAAACACGTGGAAAGCACGTGTGAAAAAACCCTACAAGAAACAAACAGCACTAAAACGACAGCAAATCGAGGAAAATGTTGTCGTTTCAATCTCCAAAGCTGAACCAGTGGCATCAATATGTACCGTCGTCGGTTACTAAAACTTCAAATTAAAGAAGACCTAAAGAATTGTGAGTCTCAGGTTCCTTACAAGATCCTTAACTACATTCACCGAAAACTCTTTCTCCATCTGCAAATAAAATTACAAAAAGATAATCGTTATATAATTTCCGCATTTTTCATATCGATTTGGATGCATTTTAGCATTTCCGCATGAGAATTGTTATTAAATTCACCTGTGCAAGGACTGTGACGTCGAGAGTCGAGTCTCCGAATGGCAATATGACAGTGTTTTCGATGCGCAGCTGAAGATCTTCAATCGTGTTTAGTATGTTAATCATGCACCCTTTGCTCTTCTCGCAGTGGATTCGGATTAAAACGTCCTTCTTAGATACTTTCACTTCAATTTCCGGCAATGCTTGATCATATCTCTCTTCATCTAATGTTTTATCGTCCACAAGAACTTTAGATTTCTTGACAAGAATCATGGATTCCAATTCTCTTGTTGCATTCTTCTCTTCCTCGAGCTTTACTATTTCTTGTTGGAGTTGTTTCATACGTGAGATCGCGTCATCTAGAACTGTTACTTTATCCGCCTGAAACAATATAACAAAGTTTAGCCTTCTCAATACAAATTAACAATGAATAATTAACTCATAATTTTTTTTTTCTTTTATAAATAGTATGTATATTAGTCTTCTTCTTTCATCGTGAAATTATTTTTTAACGGTTTAAATTCGCTATTAGACTTTACCTTCTTAAGACCAGGAAGAAGAGCTGAAAGGGCAATGAATTTTTCGGAAAGCTTCTCACGACGCTTTCTCTCGGCTAGAACATGTTCTTTGGCTAGAAGCGAAGATCTTCTCGCAGGGGAATATGATTTTCTTTTGGTTCCACGTCCAACCAATCGATCCATATTGATCTCTTCCGCAGCTGAAAAAGAAGAAACATCACGAGAGAAATCGAAAGATATCACTCGTGGTTTGTTGTTGATCTTCATCATAGGCTCCACTGCTGGTTTCGGCTTCTCTTCACAAATTTGTTGCTCAAAAGTTGATGAACTATTTTCTTCGTAAAGATTAAAGTCGAAATCGATGTCTTCTAGTGAGAGATCATTTAAGAAGAAATCTGCATCCATGTCCGAACTGAGTAAGAACCAAGAAAGAAAGACCAAATCTTTTCTAATTAAGAGAAATCGAGAGATGTGTTTTTTTGTTTTGTCCTTTTAGGTGTTTTATGACAAGAAAGTGTTTTCAGGTATTGTCTTTTATATATTGACAAAAAAGACGCGGCTTAGATTTTCTCTTCACTCCTTTAATTACGTTGACAAGATTGTGTATATAATGCGTAAAACGTGACCGTATATGTTCAATTTTATTTTATTTTTTGTTCAGACAATAATTTTTGTATGATCGAGTTCAGAATAGTGTTTTGTCTATGTTGATCGTATTATTGGTCGCCTTTTAGAGGTCAGCTGAGATCACAAATGCTTGCCGCGTCAACAGGTAAAGAAAACATTTAGCATCAGAATATTTAAACATTCTCTAGAAGTTACGAATATATACAAATTTGATATCATTTTCATTAATATGAACACATGCATAAAACACGTATCGTCCATGATCAATATGATCTTGTTCTCTAATAATATGTATATTATAATATGAAGTTAAAATTGATATTTTCCACCTTATAAGTCCAGGAGTCTAGCTGCACTTGTCTTGACATGCATAATTGTTATGAAGTCATTTAAGATAAGTGTCTCCATCTGGAACCAAAACCGAATTTATAAAGTGAAGCGAACATCGATCGACTAATAGTATTACTAGCTTTTAATCTTTATACAAAAATTTAGATAGCAGTTAGTAAGAGAAAAAAAAAATTCAACTCTTTAAAGTCTTAAGAATCTCTAAAGCATTCTCTAAATATTCTATTTACGTGTTAACGACAAACCCCATAAAAGTAAGAGAAGAGACACGTGTAAATAAGCACGTGTTTTTGGTGTTGATTTATGGAGTCTGTGTATTATTCTCACTCGGAAACAACACTGACTCACTCACTCTGACTATAGAGAAAAGTCCATTAGCCTATTCACGTTCGGTTTTCCCTTTGTCACCTAGTTCTTCCGACCATCTAACTTCATTAAATTTATAAGGAAATATACAAAATTTGGTATTTCCTGTATTATTTATTTATCATTATAGTTATTATAAGTGATCAAGTCTTTAACACAAGTACTTATTAACAAGGATAATAAAAAAAAATTGATACCATTGAAGAATTTATAAAAACACTATTAAATTCACTTGTACAGCTAAAATTGTAGTATAAAAAGTAAAAACACTATACGTATTCTAGTGGTAGTGGGTTTAGAGCTTTGGAGAAGAGGTTGGTTTGGAGTACTTTTAGAGATTAGTCCTAGTCGGGAAAGATTATGGGCACAAAAGATCTGAAAACGTACGTGTACTTTAAAAATAAGAAAGTAATTACCATTACTATGGCCATTATTATAGGGAAAAAGGTGAAATAGTTGTCAAGAGCAAAGAGGTTTTTGGATGAATTAAGAACAACAAAATTCTATTAATTCCTTTTAAATATAAATAGATTTTCACAGATTTTGATCATTAAGTCTTAGGTTTCCATTCGGGGTTTCACTGTTTTTCAATGGAGGATATCCAATTTTCCAAACCATCGAATAACTGCATGGTGCCATTTGTTGACTGATAACTACGCTTGTTTTCTTTACCGTGTAATTATTAACAGGTAGCCGCGTGTTTAATTTGATTCGGTCCAACAATTAAATACAGAAGAAGTTATTATGATACCATGTGGATTATGTCGACATCTTTAGAGTTTTAAAATATTTTCCGTTTGGTAATAATGTCGCACTGTTTTGTGATTATAATGGTCTCCTAAACCTAATTTGGTTCCGATAATGACCCGAAACCTTTTCCAGTGTCCCCACCCAACGGGTTATTTAGTCTCAACCGCGGCAATGAGAGGCCAAACCGCAGATGCCTTCATATACACGTAAAGCCCAAACGGTAGGTCAAAAAATGCAATTGTTGTGGGCTACGGTAAGAAAAACAAAACATAATTTCCCAAAGTACTGTTTACGTTCACATTTTAGTCTTGATACAAGACCGGTCACTTAGGAGGAGGAGAGGTGCAATGGGCAGAGATCTAATAAATAACAAGTGTAGAACATTCTTTCCGCAGTTATACGTGGGTACTACTATGATATGTTTATGTGTGTACATGTCTATCGTCTCGTTTGCAACGATATATTAATCAAAGGTTTGATACGTGCCTCTTGAAAATGAAACCATTACTATCATTTTAAAAAGGTTAATTGATATATAAAATGGAGATTTTGTAAGCAAGTTTTGGATACGAAATCTGGATAATGTATATATACTAGTTAATTTATAGTATAAGGTGGGACAAATGAGTATGCATGGTTACGAACCTTACGGTTAAGTTGGTGGTGTGGTGTGGACGTAATATGCCGCCGAAAATATCATAAATCCAGCTGACCAATCTCTACTTACTCACAATATTTTAAAATTACCCTCTTTTATCATTGAGTCTGGATTGGGTCAATCATTTCTATTTTTGGATTAAGACATTAAGTATATTATCGTCGATTCGTCGTCCTTCTCAAATTCACTGTCAAGGGGCCTTCAAAATTTGTCTTCTTTCCTCGTCATAATTCCAATAAGTAGGACTAAAATTTTAGTTAGATGTTTTAAGAAAAATATAATTCAAGAATGTATGAAATTATAATTAAGTAATCTTCCTCTTCCCATTATTCTGGGCAATTATTTGTTCCAGAAACAGACATTATGCAATTAAGATTGGTGGTTATTTGTTGAAAAAAAAACAGATTGGTGTTGCGTTTATTTTATATGGCCTTCTATGTACATAGTTTAAACACTTTGGTTGGACTTTTGGACCCGACGAAGAAAAAACTAGACTTCATATACTAACACATTTGGTTTTCAGATTGTTTGACCTCCTTGAAACGATTTCCAATCAAATAGGTAAATCCCACGTTTTCAATTCAATTTAATAATCTATGGATTGTGTTTTGTTGGCCTGTTTTTATAGAATTTCCCACTCGTCTATTAGACAATTACTTTTGCTTTTACGGAGTACTATTTTTCCTTGATCGAGATAAGTGAATTAACAAATCATGGTGAACTGAAAATTCTCAAAAGAAAATAAACGAACCAAAGTCTTATTAATGTGCTCTGCGGAAAGATAACAACTTAACAAACTCCTTTTGCTATTTGAATTGATGACAATTTTTACGATTATTAATCCATAAATCCTATTTTTCTTTTACCGGCCATTTCATTGTTGCTGGTGAGCTCACTTGTGTTAACATGTAAAACTGATCAAGTTTGTACATGCCATTTATGAAAATAACGAAAGACTTACATCGCAGAAAATTATACATAACTGCGAAAAAAAAGTTTGTGCGAAAAGGACGAAACATGTTGAGCACACTTAAACAGGAACAAGCTTCCATAAATGATAAACCTCCCATGCAACAAAGTTATCTACTAAAAACCATTTTCATGGAAAAAAAATAAACTTGGATGTGTCGGTTGGAGAAATCGATGAGGGCTGTGCATGTATATGTAATGAGAAACTAATCACATGAACTTTGATAAGCCACAACTCAAGCTCTTCGCAACATCCTCAATTTTCATTTCAAAATCGCTTGTTTTCTGCAAAAGAAATATATAGTATGATTCATATTTGTCATTGTTATGTAGAAATTCAGACTAATTCAGGAACAAGCTTATATTCTGCTAAAAATAAACTAAACTAGACCATAGTTTTAGACAGCGCACAATCAATAGAAATGATTCATGATATCAACCAAAAAGACCATAAATTGACACAGTATGAGAATAGTCACCTTAGCGATAATAGAGATGTCAAACGTGGGTCCAAAGGGCAAGACGCTGCTATTGGTGATAGACAAACCAAGCTTCTCAATCTCACCCATAATCTTGATCACATGACCTTTTTGCTTCTCACAAAGGATCTTAATAAGAACATCTTTTCCCGAAACCCTCACTTCCATCTCTGGAAGATTTGAGCTCGAGAAGTCATGGTTTCCATCCGAGGAAGATGGTGACAGTTGTTGATTATCATCCAAAGCTAGCTGAGACTTCTTCACGAGAACCATTGATTCCATTGTTCTTTCCTTCTTTTGCTCTTCATACTCTTTTACACTCTCTTGGAGGTACTTTATATGCTTTATAGCATCTCCCAACACAGAAGCCTTGTCCATCTATAAGAAGATCAATTAATTAAAATGATTACACATCAAGTTGAAACTACAAATGATTCGTATTAAAACCATTATTCAACTTTCATATACATAGCCGGTCCCGGTCAAAGAACTAAGTTCCATGACAGGAATATCCAAAGTCAATACTCATACAAAGTTTTCATTACAGCAAGATTTTTTGCCTCGGTAAAAGATGAATTAAGAATGGACTAGCGATTATTATTTGGTTAAACTTGAGCCTTGTAATTCAACAAGAAGAAGAAGTGTGATTTACATAAAAATATAGGTACCTTCTTTAGGCCAGGAATTAGAGCGGAAAGCGCTACAAATCTCTCAGTAAGCTTCTCTCTCCGTTTTCTCTCTGCGAGTATGTGATCTTGAGCATTTGATTGGCTTCGAGTAAAGGGTTGGGCCCTCTTTGTACCTCTTGTGATCAGCTCTGGTGAGCCAACTTCTTCCTTGGTGGTAAATACTAAGTTTGGGGAGTTCTGATTCATAGCTTTCAAACCTGTCTTTTCGAAAGAAAGAATTCTTGAAGATGGCTGAGGTTTTGGGGGAGGAGGATTGGAAGAAGAAAGAGGATGTAATTTTGGCGATATGTGAGTTGTCTTAAGGATTTTTGAAGGTTTCTGTTCGACCAAATCATCATTAAAAGACGCATCAAAGTTATAACTAGCGGTAGTATCATCAAGAGATGCGAGAGGCTGTGGACTATCCCCAACGAGTGAATTCATGTGGAATTGGTGGATGATGCTATACTCTTCTATATCCTATAGAAAAATAAATTTTTAATATTCATGAAATTTGTCCAAAGAAACAAAAAAAAAGAGAGAGAAAAAGAGCATAAATATAGTAAATATAAACTCATAAGATGAAAAACAGACACATATAAATATGTATATATGTGTAGGTATATACCAATTCTGAGGACCATTTGGTAGAGAACACGTTCATCGTTGTGGCCATGATTTCTAGCTGCTTAATTAGCCAAGAATCTGAAAATTGGTAAGCATGTTGAGCCGAAGAACGTTATTAACTATACAAGAAAATCAAATCATGTAAAGAATAGTTTTTTATTGAATTCTAAAAGTTTTGTCCAAAAACTTTAAGAAAACTGAAGTTGAAGCTTACCTTCTTCTCAGATGAGAGAGAGAGAGAGAGAGAGAGAGAGAGAAGAGAGAGAGAGAGAGAGAGAGAGAGAGAGAGAGAGAGAGAGGGAGAGAGAGAGAGATTGTGGTTTGCTATTGGCTGACCAAGATATATATACAGACATATATATACAACTTATGTGTACGTGTGAAAGGCAATCAAATACAATTAGATATTGGTTGGTGATATTAAAGAAACACATAGATTGATATTGATATCATCCTCAAAGATCTTGATACAAAATGTGTATCTATTGCTAAATATGAAGATTTAAGATCGAAAATACAAGATATAGTGAATAAATTGTGCAAGTCTTATTAGAATTTAACAGGCTACCTAGTTTTTTTTTTTTTTAGTTTAATTTGCTCATGAGTTATATATATCAACAAGAAAAATATGTATAACATATTTGATTGTACAAGACAGACAATACACAAAACAAGGGATTGCAACGTGAAAGATAAAGGATCTTCGCAGGGCTTGAGGCGAGCTATGTGAACTTATATCTCGTATTTGATCTACAAGCTTTGTAAATTTTTATCAGACTGAACATTTATAAGTATATGAAAAGCGAGAGACAAAAACTTAAAAAACATTCGTGAACAAAAGAAAAATGGATTATGTGTCCTCATCGCACAAACAATTTGCAGAGTTTTGGTTTCCTATACGTCTATTTTTTTTTTGTTAAAGTTTCCTATACGTCTAATTAGTAAACTATTTACACTCGTGTCGTTGGAACCAGTATCAATGTGAAACATAAATGTGTCTAATATTTTCCGATGAAAAAACTTTGATAAATATTTCAAGAGATAGCCAATTATATCATAAATGAAATTTAAACCAAAATATACCAATAATATTGTTATACTCTATTAAATCGTTTTTATTACAAATTTATACCAGACATCTAGTTGATAATTAATTCAGTGCCCACTAAGATAAGATAATATTCTCTTTTTTCGGTCGAATACTAATATTAATGTAAGGTTAGAAAAGATTACGAAATCTTCAAGAAGACTTAATAATATCATCTTCTTCGTCTTTCAAATATATTGCCAACAAGAATATACTCAAACAATTAAATCTTGATTAATTTTTTAAACAACGCTCGCTAGTTAATTCATTATCAGAGATAAACAAAGAATTTACACTAGTTGGGTTCAATCATTGTTCATATAGAAAATTATATTCTCGTTAACTAGTTTTTTCTTCAAGTATGGCACCAACCTAAGATCTCCCCTTGATTTTTTTGCATTTTCTATAGTGTTGGTGTTGGTTATGGCCTTGTTACAACTTTTTTTTTCTTTGTTTACCAATCAATTCAGTTTCACACCCAAATGGGTAGATGGAGAAAAAAAGATTTGCTTTTCTTCGCGTTGAGAAAATATACCTTTTGAAACATCATCCCCTCTGGGCTCTGGGGCTTTGTGACTCCAAAATTTCAAAAAGAAAAAAAGGTTTGTGACTCCAAATGGATTCTTCATTTTGATAAAATTAATAATGAAAAGAATGCATAACAATTTTCTTCATTTTTGAAAACGCATAACATTCTCTTCATTTTAGATATAAACCGACCAAAGAAAATTAAGTGCATGTAAATAGTTAATGACCAATCCGACTCTTTTGAGGGTCTTGTGTCTTGTGCGACGGTAATATTCGATAAAAAAGTCACGGTTTATTGGAAGTGTTGAAGTATTCAACCTTTCAAAACAAAAAGCACGTGTGTTAATTGCAATAATCTATTTGAGGAAATGACAGGCAAGAGACAACTAATTTCTCGATCCCTTTATTACCTCGCCCCATGATGGAAGCATCTTCAAATCAATATTTAAACATAAATGATTCACTAATTAATTTTCGAAAGCTTCAGCCTTCAAGTGTGTATATATTATATAATACCTACACTGTTGCACATGATTAGGGTATAATTATAAGAACATTTTCAATTCCCTATAATGAAATAGTTTAATGGATCGATTCGTATATATATCTCCTGTGTAACGTGAGGAGAAGAAAAATGATTGCAATTTAGTTTTGATAAAATGGATCTTTTGATAAATATCATCAAATTTTCTAGATTCGGAAATCTAATTTTTAAAGGTCAATAATTATTTTGTTTTGGGAATACGTTTTGGAAGTCAAGCACTAAAAGTGCCAACGAAAAAGAACAAACATAAGTAGACAAAAGGGTTCATTAGAATAACAAAGAAACTCTTGTGATAAGCTTTCGCCATTTGTTACGTTTGAAGGGAATACGATTAGTTTATTAGGTACTTTTTTGTTTATGTCTTTGCTTGTCACTTTGTGTTTGTTGATGGGTTTAGAGGATCAAGTTGGCCTGATATTAATGGATTTGCTTTGGATTTGATAGTACTGTTTCATCTTAAAACTCTCAGCTCTTGACCTAACAATGCCATAATCATAAACCAAAACAAGTCTTAATGGATTCTTCAAGACAGTTTTCAAACTCCAAGAATATACACACTTGGACTTTGTCTTTACTGATTCAGATTCTTGGTTAAAGAGGAGAAAGAGCTTGATGCTTCGAACGGTGTATCCTCTAAGTCTCACACCCTAAAAACCCTTTCTCGCATCTACAATCACCGGACACCGGTCGTTGCATAAAAAGAAAAGAGTGCACTTACTACAATATAATTTCCTTAAAATAAGGACTATTTACTTTATAACCCACACTAGTCATACTTTGCTATGTTATGTACTACTGGAAGCGAAACTATAATTTTAGCCTTAAAACCGCAAGCGATTTGGTTCACATTTTCTACAGAAATCGTTCACTCACTCACCACATGTTTTTTTTATTCCATCTCGAAGCTAACATTAACGTAACCACCAATTTCGAAAGGCACACAAACCTAGAATCTTATACAGGGTTCTTTCTCAAACACAAACACGAAAACGGAGAATGTGGACTTATCTGAATAGTACACAACATAGCAAAGGTTTTTTAGTCTAAAAAAAAAATAGAGAGCTGCTTCATGTCAACCTTATCCTTACATAGAATGCGATTTAAGAATTAATTATTACACATAAACATCAAGGTAGGACTGAGGTGGAATGTAGTAAGGGGCCGGGAAAGGTGAAAAAACACTTGGCGTTGACCTAGTCTTGATGTCGAATACTCCCTCTTCGTTGTGGTCTATGAAATAGACGGAGTTGGGGCGTAAATGGCCATAGAAGCTGGCATTGAGACAGAAAGGTTCGGACTTGGAGAGGAAAATGCAGAGATCTCCAATGTCTCTAGTGGGCCAAGCAAACCCATCTCCAACAGGCAAAGGAGTCTCATCCTCGACTAGCTTGAATACCATCATTTGCCTCTGTTCCATCCTCCCTCCCCTAAGGTTGTTTCTTTCCCTGAACTGCTTAACCATAAACAATTCCCCCGTCTGTCGTGACTCCACCAAGTGATCCGTCGTGCTACAATTATCTAAAGCCCGCCACTCCGAGTGCACCAACTCAAGAAGACTTGTAAAGTGCCATGCCAGCAACTTGGGTTTGTCCCTGTGGTTCTCGAGATCCCAAGATCCTGTGAGCTTGCCTCCCGCACCGGGCATGGAGAACATGTCGTCTCTCTCAGAATACATGACCCGGGAGGAGAAGAAGCCTGGATCTGTGACTCTGATGTTGAACCACTCGGCCTTGTCTCCGAGGGCAGGCCTGCATAAGCTGAGCTGAGGCCCCACGAACTTGACGGCGAGAATGCAATCTTCGTCCTCGTCGGGGGAAGCGGACGACATGGCCACGTTGGTCACCAACTGCGTCTGGCAGTGAGGCAGAGTCTGGAGAGGAGGCAGCGAGATCCGCTTGGGCTCTGAATACGAAGCATCCGGGAAGAGATCGTCTTGAAGACACACGACGCCGTCTTTCAAAGTAGCCACCCAGCCATGGGATCCCCCTATCGTTCCCGTTTCCGTCATCAGACTCATGGGCACCTTCTTGTCCCGAGTATGAGTCTGCCAAGAATTACTCGCAGCTAGGGTAATCACGAGTTTACCGATTTCCCCATCCCTTGGGGTAGATCCACAAGGTTGAGCGCCGTCGATGCGGCAGAGAGGGGTTTCCGAAAAGAATCGTACACTACCACCCTGCGGATTTTTCATACAAACAATAGATCAGAGACAGGGGAAGAAGAAATCAAGTAATATACCCAACAGAAATGAACCATTTACAAGTAGAACTGCAGGTTGCTTCCTCGGAGAAGAAAGACTCGAGAGTCGGCGGCTTAGTTGAAGCAGAGACCTCATAGTGTACGGATTTCGACCTATTGAGACCTCGGTACTTGTTAGGTCTCCGGTAGTTAAGACAAAGTAGCCTTGCCCACCAAGTTCGCATTCTTGTTTCTCGTTTTTTTTTTGTGTTTTATTGTCTTATTGATTTCTTTATTCTTTTTTTTTCTTTTTCTAAAAGGATATTTAATTGGGTGATTTTGCTAGATAACAATCAAATAACCATAATAAATTTATATTGACACTAATGATGACGTCATCTTTGGTTAGTTTATTAAATTTTAATTTTGCTATTATTAAACTTACGTTTTTAATGCTATCTATATACTGCAGTTTGCTTTCAAGAAGTGCAGGATTATCACTCTATCTTCATACGTTTGACTTGCGTTTATATTTTTATTTTCTTCTCCACGGGGCTGGTCCAATTCCACCACACTATGCACAAGTGTGAAAGTGAAACATAGTACTTTTTCATCGGTCAAATGAGTCCACCAAAACTCCATAGTTAGACTACTTTTTTGTTCCATAAACAAGATTTGAGGTTATCAACGTGCGATAATATCCCATTTTCCGTTCTATAAAGAACAATTAAATGTTTTGATGTCCAAAAAAAAAAACAATTAAATGTCAAAAAAATAAAAATAGAGTTTGAAACAAATTTGGTTATATATATCGAGCTTCAAAGAAGCCAAACCAAATCATCAAACATTCAAACTCCTCTTCTTTTATGCACCTCTCTCCTCTGAAAAAAAAGAAAAATACATCGCAAAAATGGCAAAATTCTCCACTTTGCCTATGATAGCTCTGCTCCTTTGCTCCACGCTAATGTGCACCGCTTGTCCTAACCAGACCTTTTCTGCATCTATAGGATTGTTCCGGCCGACCTGGTCAGTCTAAACCTACATGCAAAAATTCATTTCGATACATACCACATTACCAACAAAAATCACAGACATACACATGCACATAATCACAACATTTCTAAAGAAATTTGTTAAATTGGTGAATTCGTATAGGACTCCCTATTATTTTAAAATGTTTACTAAAGAAATTTGTTAAATTTACAATATTATACATTTGATAAAGAATTTGTACATGACGTTCGAATAATCAAGATGTCTTGCATGTAACTTAATGGTTAATTTGGCAGGAGAGACATAACGTTTCTTAACACAGAGACATAACGTTCCTCAACTGAAAGCTAATCAGAACATATAACAGCAATCACGTTTCTTACTCACCAACAACATAGATATCTCTTGAAACCTAGGGTTGCGGTGGAATGAAGTAAGGCGCAGGTGAGCTTGTCATTTCCTTAACCATAACATTATCGGCGATGTTGACTTTTCCGAAGTCATCGCTGCCGACGTAATAGATGCAGTTTCTTGGGAGGCCATACAAGCTAGCCTGGAGACAGAAAGGCTCACCTTTGGAGGAGAGAAAAATACAGAGGTCTCCAATGTCTGAAGTGTGTTGAGTCGTTTCCTTTCCTAACATTTTGAACACCAAGAAGCGCTCCGTAAGCGCCATCCCCCTACTACGCAAGCAGCGTCGTGTGTACCACTTGACAAAGTAAGTTTCACCCGTGGGCGACTCCACCATGTGTTCGCTTCTGCAACACCTACACAACCGATCCCACTCCGACTGAAAAAGCTCTGGGTGTGGTGTGAAGTAGCGGTCACGCAACGTGTATTTTTCAAGATCCCAATATCCTGTCATCATGCCTCCGGCGCCGGGCATGGAGAACATGTTGTCTCTCTTGGAATGCATGACCCGGGAGGAGAAGAAGCCTGGATCTTTGACTCTGACGTTGAGCCACTCGACCTTGTCTCCGAGGGCAGGCCTGCATAAGCTGAGCTGAGGCCCCACGAACTTGACGGCGAGAATGCAATCTTCGTCCTCGTCGGGAGAAGCGGACGACATGGCCACGTTCGTCACCAGCTGCGTCTGGCAGTGAGGCAGCGTCTGGAGAGGAGGCAGCGAGATCCGCTTGGGCTCTGAATCCGAAGCAGTCGGGATGAGATCGTCTTGAAGAGACACGACGCCGTCTTTCAAAGTAGCCACCCAGCCATGCGATGCTCCTACCGTTCCCGTTTCCGTCATCAGACTCATGGGCACCTTCTTGTCCAGAGCATTGGTCTCCCAACAAGGTTCCCTATATTCGGCAATCACGAGTCTGCCCATCTCCCCATCCCTCGCCGTAGATCCACAAGGTTGAGCGCGCAAGATTTTGCAGAGAGGGGTTTCCGACAAGAATCGTACACCACCACCCTACACACAATAGGAAGAAGAAGTCAAGTAGTAATACCCAACAGAAATGAACAACTACAGAGAAGAGATCAGAGAAGCTTACGAGTAGAGGCGCAGGTGGGTTCCTCGGAGAAGAAAGACTCGAGAGTCGGCGGCTTAGTTGAAGCAGAGACCTCATTTCGGCCAAGAAAGAAAGATGATTCTATTGAGAAGGTGAGATGAGAGTGAGACCTATTAGGTCTCTGGTAATAAAAAGCCTTGCCCACCAAGTTCGCATTCGTTTTTTTGGTTTTTTTTTTTTTTTAAATTCGTTTAATGTTTGTTTTCTTGGTGTGGCATATTGATCAGTATGGAAAGACCTCAAAACCACTCGATTTTTATAAGATTTGACCATAAAAATATCATGATATGTACATGGGATATAAGAGCATGTTTAACGCAGGGCGCTTCATAGGGCGCTAAGGTAAAGTTGGGATTTAAATAAATCAAAACAAAAATAAAACAGAAAAGCCTACGCTTACATTGGCGTTACAAGCGTCGACGCCAACGGGTCACGTGGCAGAAGATGATTGGCTGTCATTTTTCTTCTTCATTATTCTGTTTTGTTTCTCTCTCCTCCCTCTCTCTTCGCCGTTGCTCTCCTATGGCGGATTCGCGATTCCACGGTAATTCGAATGATTCATCGATTTCGCACAAAAAATCGGTCCAATTATCATGCCTTCGGTGGTGGGTCTTTCCTAATCTCCGTGAAACGGTGCGAATCGGCGAAGAACACCGGAAGATCAACAGTTCTCAATCAGCGATTGTTTCTCCTCTATGCATGGTAACTTTTTCTTCCACAATCGGCCTTATATGGTGGTCAATTAGGGTTTAGGAGTTTATTCAAGTTCATGTCTGATTCGAATTGATCTTCTTTTCATTCGTTCCTTTTACTTATTAGCTCATGTTTTGTCCTAAAATTTTGGCTTGTGTTGTTGTTTATTTTGGTTTCTGGTGGGCACAGAGATGGAGCTGTTGACAACGACAACAACAACAAGGACGTGTTTACAGCTGTTGACCAAGCTGAGATTACAAAAGATGTTTGCTTGATGTATGATTTTGTGAATCAGCATTTACAGGAGGCCACAAGGTCGTTACATCAGCTTGAAAGAGAAGTGAGAATTTCTTGTGATCAAGTGATCTTTTGTTAAAACCTTTCTCTGTCCATATCTTGTTTTGAATCCAGGGTTTCCGACCTAAGCTTGGAGGAAGATGATGTTCTGAAGCTAGTAAGTGAAAAGAGTGAGAACAGAGTTGTAAGGAATATAAAGGCTTCAATGAAATGCAGTGATAGAGAAGTTTCCAAGCCTGCAACCGAGAGCTTCTCTTTCAGAATTCCTCCATCAGAAAACATTGAATCTCAAGGAAGGTCGGATCTTCCGGGAATAGATGTGTTGGTCTCAGCTGCAAAGAGAAAGAGCCGCCTCTGGTCACAGCCAACTGTCAGATTGATGTTAAGATAGAAACTGTGTTTTGTTTTGCAGGTTTGTTTCATGTCTCAACCGTTGATGCTACCTCATCGATCTTAATCAGCAAGCAAATAAAGGACACCAGAGCATTGTCAAGGCAAGCCATATGCTCTCAGATGCAATAAAAGCATTGTGCTTATTACCAATCGATCATACATATATAAGTATGTAACATACCACAAGCAGCTGAAAATTGTAACAAAAGTTTCCTCTCTTGATACGCATTTCTCCTCCTCTTTTTTTGTTTGTTTTGTTTTGGTTTGACAAACATACACATCTATCTCCCTCCACTAATAGATTAATCAAAACACATCTCTTGTTTCTCTAAGCAAGAACTGTGTTTTTTTTACTTGGAAATTGCAGTGGTGGATGATAAGTTTGTCAAGGAACCAGTGAAAATGCAGATGCATATTGAAAATGCTAACAGGTGCAGGAGACTCTATAAGCACCCCTATAAGCACTCTCCATTAGAGGAGAGAAAACAGAGAATTTTTAATAGTGTTGCTTAACCCAATTTTAATAATAAAAAATCTTGTAAGCACTTTTATAAGCTCCGTGCGTTAAGCATGCTCTAAAGAATATTCCTTTGTAGATACAAAAAAGGAATACTTACTATTTCTATGATAGCTAACTATTTTCTATTAATATTTGCTAGGTTTTTCATATATATTGTAACCGGTTAAACTGGTAATAAAAAGGTTTGATTCCTAATCATTCTCAACATTGATATTGATAAATAGAGATAAACCTAAGAAAATCATACTGAGGAATCAAGGTCGTCTCTCCACATATATATACATGTTTTTAGTCCTTCATAGTTAGATTGCATAACAAATATAGCACATAAAGGAACAGTATGTAAAGAGAGGAGAAACCAAACTCATATCTAAAAACGATTTTGTCTTCCATACAAAGATTCGTTCAAGAAAACTTCTCCACTACAATGGAAAAAGGTATTCCTCTTATTTCCCCTTTGTATTTCTATCATGTGACTAGTTCTAGCATATAACTAATAGAGAGGTGAAAATCTTAGGATATATGCAATTGGCATATATAGATCTGCAAGTTTGTTAAACTTATGAGAAGATTCAAACTTTTTATTAGTTTTTTTTAACTTAATACCAATCTTCTAGGCTTCTATGAAAATTTTAAGATTGGTTAGAGATTAATCGATCTCTTCCATTACTAATTTTGTTTTTATTTGGTGGATCTGAATCTGTTCAACCCCAAAATTTTGCAAACTTCGCAAAATTATACGAATGTCATAAATTAAACCTAAAAAGGAAATTAGGAAATAAATAATCGTGGCATTGTTAAAAGTTAAGTAAAATAGAAAATATTCCGAAATTAATCATATAGGGACCACCACGTTCCACGTCACCCATTACTTCACTGCGACGTGGCACTGTCAAAAGTAGCAAGTAAATCGTGTGGCACTGTGCAACGTTTCTTTGTGCTCAATTTCTCAAAATCAGGAAACAGAATCGCAAATTGGTTTTGCTTTTTTTTTCCTTCTTCAAAAATTTCTGCTCAAATGATTCAATCAAATTTCCCGATTTGAGCTTAATTCGAATTTTCGAAATTCGACTATAACTTCAACCCAATCGAATTCTTATTTCGATTCATCAATCAATCTCCTTCGCCATTTCAATCGCTTCTTCATCGGTATTTTTTCTCTCTACCCTGAATCTGATTTGTTTCCTCCCTTTTTGTTTCTCTGAGACGCGAATTTGATCTTGAAATTGCTTCAATCGCGTTTCTCTTCAAACGATTGATGTACAGAGATCGTCAAAATTCGAAATTTTTTCGCTTTCATTTCCGCGAAATCCTGGAAACCGAAGGAAACTAGATTCTGAAATTCGATCAACAATTTCCATTTTTTATGGAATTTCAATAGCTCATACTTCGTTTTTGTGATCTGTTTATCACTTTTTTTATTTGAGTTTTCTCAATTTTGTTCATCTGTTTGCAGCTGAACAATCCAGGTGAATTCTGTGTTCTTCATAATATCATCTTCGTGGTTTGTGTCTCTTTGATGAGTTTTGGAATGGGGATAATGGAGAATAAGATCCACAAAGAGTCATCAAAAGTGAGTTCTTCGAGCAACAACGGTAATGTCTCCGAAGAGAAGATAGGAGGCAATGTTTTGCAGAACGGAATTTACAACAACACCGCTTCCACGAGGCTGCTTAAGTACAAGCGCCGGAAAGTTTTCGCCGTCAGAGATTTCCCTCCTGGTTGCGGATCGATCGCAATTCGGCTGAGATCGTCGAAACCCGAAGCTGAGAACGGGAATGTTGTTCAGTCTTCTGAAGCTGCTAAGGTTGAGTCTTCTGAAGCTCCTAAGGTTGAGTCTTCTTCAGCTGAAGGGGAAGAGAACTTGGGACAGAAAGTTGTTGCGGTGACCGGAGGAGTTGAATCTAACGGAGTAAACAAGCCGGAATCGGAACCGGTGAAAGATGGATCTGATGAAATAAAGGTGGTTGCGGCGGAAGATGGGAATGTGTTGGAGAGCACAATGGCTGAGCCGGTGAATGTTGAGCCTCTGAGAACAATGCAGAAGGAGGATGATGATGTTGTGGTGACCACAGGAGTTAACATTGTGGAACCGGAACCTGAACCTGAACCGATGAAGGAGGAATCTGATGGATTGATGTTTGCGCAAGAAGGTGGGGATTCGCCGGAGAACATAAGCTATCTACCTGCGACGAATCCGCCGGTGGAGGCTCAGCCACTGCGAGTCTGCTTGCCAGACGGTGGAGGACAGTTTAAGGTTGGTGAGAGAGATATGGTTGCTTCTACTGATGAACAAAGTCTTGAAAGAGAGAATTTTGATCAGTCTCTTGTTAAGAGCACAAAGCCATTGGAACCGAGACCAATCCATGTCTCGGGTCGAAAGAAGGCGAAGAAAAGTATTGCGAGTCATGCACCGTTGAAGGTTAACAAGACGATGACGAGTCGAGAGTATGGTGAAGGATCTAAGAGCAGTGAGAGGGATTTGTATTCACGCAAGAGGGCAAGTCCGGAGAATGCTAGAGAGGACGACTCTCCTGATCGGAAGCATCGTAGAACGTTAGAGGTCGGGCTTCCTCCTTCGCGTCCGGCTGGTGCAAGCGGCGGGAACAAAGTCAAGGAGATTCTACGTCTCTTCCATGGAACTTGTAGGAAGCTTATGCAGGAGGAAGAAGCAAAGCCTAAGCTTCAGAAGAAGAAGAACTACAGAGTGGATTTCGAAGCTGCCAAGATTCTCAAAAGCAAAGGGATCATTCCAAAGTCTGCTAATCAGGTTATGGGAACAGTCCCTGGTGTTGAGGTTGGTGATGAGTTTCAGTTCAGGATGGAGCTCAACATTCTCGGTGTGCACAAACCGAGCCAAGGCGGTATCGATTCCATGAAAGTCGGTGACGAGAATCTCGCCACGAGTATTGTATGTTCAGGTGGTTATGACGACGATCTTGACAACTCCGATGTCTTGACTTACACGGGACAAGGCGGGAACGTGATGATCAAGAACAGGAAAGGAGAGGAGAAGAAAGAGCCTGAAGACCAGAAGCTGATAACCGGAAACCTCGCGTTAGCCAACAGCGTGAGAGCCAAGAACCCGGTTCGAGTCATCAAAGGCCACAAGCAGACGGTTCTGGAATCTGCAGGTGGTGATAACAAACGCAGGAACTATGTCTACGATGGACTATACGTTGTGGAGGAGTTTTGGCAAGAGACAGGTTCTCACGGGAAGCTAGTCTTCAAGTATAAACTCAGGCGTCTTCCTGGACAACCTGAGCTTTCTTGGAGAGTGGTGAAGAAGTCCAAGAAGTCTCAAATCCGTCCTGGTCTCTGCAGGCTTGACATTAGTGAAGGGAGAGAGAGATTACCTATTTCGGCAATCAACGAAGTCGACGACGAGAAGCCTCCTTCGTTCATCTACACGGCGGAGATGATAAACCCTGACTGGTGCAGGCCGGTTCCTCCCAAGGGATGCGGCTGCACGAAACGGTGCACGGAGACTAACAGATGCGCTTGCGTGGCGAAGAACGGAGGAGAGATACCGTACAACTACGACGGAGCCATAGTCAGCGCCAAGAACTTGATCTACGAGTGTGGTCCGCTCTGCAAATGCCCTCCTTCTTGCTACCTGAGAGTGACGCAGCGAGGGATCAGGTTCCCGTTGGAGATCTTCAAAACAGAGTCAAGAGGATGGGGAGTGAGATCGCTCGGCTCCATCTCTTCCGGTAGCTTCATTTGCGAGTACGTAGGCGAGCTTTTGGAGGATAAAGAAGCTGAGAGAAGAACAGGGAACGACGAGTATCTATTCGACATTGGGAACAAGTACGAGAACGCTTTAGCTGAAGGGATGTCGAAGCTAATGCCTGAGAAACGGTCCATGGAAGAGGAAGATGATGAAGAGACTAGCGGATTCACTATTGATGCTGCGAAGAAAGGGAACGTTGGGAGGTTTATAAACCACAGCTGCTCGCCGAATCTGTACGCGCAGAACGTGTTGTATGATCATGAAGACGCGAGGATCCCTCATGTGATGTTCTTTGCGATGGATAATATACCTCCGCTTCAAGAGCTCACTTACCATTACAATTACATGATTGATCAGGTACGTGACTCTAAAGGTAATATCAAGAAGAAGATTTGCTATTGTGGTTCTTCTGAATGTACTGGTAGGCTCTATTGATCGAAATCCATTTTTCCCTGTTATTTTTATATTCAGATTCTTCTTGTTTTTTATGTTCAGTGAATCAACATTTTATGTTTATGTTACATTTCTTTTAACTTATCAGAAATCTGCTTTTTTGTTCACTACTCATTCAATAGTAAGATTGATGATACCACATGTAAAATATATAGCAGAATCTGTTTCTCGAAAACGATGAATACAAACAGCTAAAGTATGTTTATGGAGTTAGGAGTCGATTGTTGTTGCCTCATTGGGTTCTCACCTTCTTCGTTAGACCGATCTACACTGTTTATGAATATCCCTGGCAAAAACATAAAAGAAACAGGTTCTTTATTTGGCCAAGAAAGCTTGCTTCTGTTTATTGTTGAGGTTAAAGAATTGAGATGTGTTTTTTACCTATAAACCATATTGCAGCAGCTAAGAACAGAACCGATGTTAAGATCAACGTTGTTTTTCTCCAACTGTTGATATGATCCTGCATATACATAACAATGGAGCATTTTAGTTCCCAAAAGTTCTGTTTCTTTTTGTTCCCCAAGATTACACCTGTTTTTACCTGAACAATACCGACAAGAGGAGAAGAAGGAACATCGCCAAATATGTGAATCGCGACGGTGGAGATAGCCATTGATAATGGTCTTAGACTTGGTTTCACACAATGCAAACACACATAGTTCACAGGAGCCTGAAGAAGAAGAAGAAAGACAAAACTGTTCTTAATGACTGCAATATACACTACAAGAACAGAACAATGCTCAAAGTTTTAAAAGCTTTATTTACCTGTGTGGCAAACACAAGAAGCTCTCCTAACGCAAAGAGAGCAATGAAACCGTATAAACTCTTTAAGGTAAATGCAGTGAAGCAAAATATCGCCCCAAGAAAAGTCGCTCCGGACAAAAGCTGAATCCAAGAACAGAACGGTTTGATAAGAACCAGAATAATCCGAAAACAAGAAGAAAAAAGCTTTTTGTTGTTTTAGAACCTTGAAAGCATTTGGAATTGTTGCAGAGACTTGATCAAGTATAAACCCTCCTGATAACGTTCCAACGATCCCACAAATGATAGTTACTACCCCAAAGATCATATCAGCATTTTTCTGTAAAGAAGAAATCTTATCAGAACAAAGTTTGAATCTTTAATGAAACCCTCAACATGAAAGAATGTTTTACCATTTTATAAATGTTGTAACCAGCCTTTGGTCCCCAATAAGAGTATGCTCCAATAACAAAATTGTATGATACATAACCTGTTCAAGGCAAATGTATCAATCAATGAATAAGATAAAGAAGCAGAAGAAGAGTGAAAGTAAGAGGACAAACTGTTTTACCTAAGACATTAACAACAAAGACCTTTTCTTTACATAGAACTTTCATATCTTTCGCAAATCGAGTAAACGATTTCCAAATCGCGTTTGCATAACTAGACCTGTCACATTTGAAGTTAAAGACTTGATAAAACTATAAAAACATATGGAAGAAAACGAAGATAAATGAATATCGACTTACTTGTAAGTTTCAATGGAGACTTCAAACTGATCATGCTCAATCTCATTACCTTTGTTGTTTTTCAATGTCTCTGAATCTTCAAAAGCCGTTACTTCAATTGTTCTAACCGTCTTTATCGAATCAGTCGAAGGAAACCCTGCATTGGATCCTTTATCAGATCAATATCTTAAAAATGTTCTTGCTTATTTAACAGAAGACAAATCTTGTTGTTGACCTTTTAACGGCACAGGTTTCATCAAGAAACCAAGAAGAGCAAATGGAGCCATTAAAACAGCTTCTCCCCAAAACGCATATCTCCAACTAAAATGTTTTCCAACCTAAAAACCAACAAGAAGGAATCAGAGAGAATGCGTTTCAAAAATTGTTAAGAGGCTTTTAAAAGTACTTACGTATCCGCCATAGACATAACCAAGAGCAACACCACTTGGTATACACATGTAAAACACTCCAAGCCATGCAGCTTTCTGTGAAAGAAGATATGGAATTTAGCAGAAATGGTTTCATATAAGATGTTGCAAAACGGAAGAGCAAAGAGAAAACCTGTTTAGGAGGAGCATTATCATCTATAAATGGAGCTGCAAGACTGATGAAAGAAGCTTCACCTACACCAACAAACCTACGAGTAACAATAAACTCTGTTTTGTAATTCAGAAAATCAGTCATAAGATTGGTACAAAAACAAGAAAAATAAATCAGCTTACATGCGACATAAGACAATAAACCAAAAGGCAAAGGAACTGCCACAGCCAAGAACTGCAATAGTCCAAACAGTTAAGCCTACTCCGATAAGTCTAAATGGACTGAAGCTGCACTAAAAAACAAGAAACCATTTCAAGAAGCTTATTTTTGTTTCTAAGACATGAGAAGAGAGGGGAGAGAAACAGAAATGGAAGTGTTTCTCACCTTTTTGCTAATGAAGCAAAGATTGGTGATGCAATAAGAAGTCCAACCATAAATGAAGATGATAATACACCATCTTCAAAGTTACTCAGGTTGAAATGTCCCCTAAAAGAAGCAACTTTTTTTACATCAGAACATTAACAAATTTGAGTAGTAATTCTTGAAACAAAGGAAAAATTAGGATAAAACGAAAGATAACTGAATTCCAGTTGCAGGATTGCATTTGCCCTTATCATTACAACTCTTTGTATTGCCATTGACACCATTGCTTGCTATAGCGCCTCGATCCATGTAGTTTAACAAGTTAATGATGCAAAAGATCACAAGTAACCTGTTAAAGTGTGGCAGCCAGTAATCAAGGTATGTTTGTCAAAATTCCAAACTCATTATAGAAAACCAAAAATGAGATTTCAGAGTCTTAAATAGAACAAAGATTTGTGGTGAAGGGAGTGCTCAAAATCTAGACTTTCATGGCAGCCAGAGAGAAAGTGAATGAATATTAAGCATAGAACAATATACCAAACGGGAGAGAGGGAAGACGATTCAACGATTTCTAAGCTTCGAACAGTCTCTAACTCCGCAAGAGGAGTAGAAGAAGAAGGAGAATAACAACTCGAAGGCTGACGACAATCTTCTTCTTCTTCTTTGTTCACCATTTTTGATCTCTCTCATAGACAAAAGAATCACTAAAATCACATTACTAAAGTTTTAGAAGGTGAAACTTTATCATCATCTAAACTAAAGCCAAAGCAACTCCACGTGAAAAGATATATTCTTTTTCTCTCTGTATTTCTTATCCTTTATCATTCATTATCCTCTGTTTTTACCCGAAAAAGAATCAAGCTTTCACTAACTTGGAGGGTTACCAATACAAATTCCTGAAGTGATCGAAATGAAGATATTATTACTAAATTGTACAATTCAAGAACAAAAAGATCCTTAATTTGAATAGCAAAAAAAAAAGTTGTATTCTTTTGCCTCTCAAGCGGCCAAAGAGATTCAAATGAGAGTACACTATAAAAAAAAAGATCTGAAGTCCTAAAAGGAGAAAAAGAGCAAAAGCAAAAGATTCTTCTAACTTCTTTTAACGGCCAAGCTTTCGAGCCTTTCTCTGTCTCTCTCTTCTTTCTTCTTCCTCTTCGAGAAGTCTTTCTCTTTCATCTTCCTCCTTTGCGATTCTCGCACTGCAGTTACCAATTCCAACATTAACAGACAGTTAAGAAAGAAACAAACAAACGAAACTCGTGATCAAAAATATTGATGTGTACCTTCGTCTCTCTTCCTTCATGATATCTTCAAAGCCTGCTTCCATGTCACTGTCATCATCGTCACGCCCAGCATAACGACCGGTACTGAGATTGAACACACAAAACCCATAAGTCTCAGGAGAATTTAGAAAGATAATGTAATGGATTATAGAGTAGCAGGAGAGTTTGAGAAGCAGTACTTGAACATGTTTCTAATCATAAACAATGCTTTATCATCCTCTGACATTCTTGCAGGCTTCTTCTTCTTCAGCGGCCTTCGATCATCCGCCATATCACGCGAAGGAGGTCTCTTGGGCACCGGCCTGCTCATCATCTGCACGAGTTACTTGACAAATCAGTGCCTCTGCTAGTTTTTGTATTGGACTATTGGCCAAAGAGTGAAGTAAAAGAAAGTACCTGTTGTTTTGAGCTCGGCGCTGACTGTTTTGGGATCATCCTGGATGTCGCAGGAACGCGTGACACCTTTCTCTGTTCCACCACCCGTTGCCTTGGATCAGACGACATTGGTCTCGATGAGGACGGTCTCTGAGCACTTTGAAGAGAACTCTTCCCCGCCGAGATGGAGGGCTTTCTCTCCAATGAAGGCTTAGAAGGCAAAGGTCTTCCCGTGGACGCTGACCGACCAGGACCAACTCCATTGCTGCTCATTGGTCTCCTATTTTCCATAGGAGCTTTCGCAGGAGCTGATCTCTGAGACTCTAATCTGGAATTCGATTGGCCACTCTGGTTAGCTGACTGGCCATTCATCGTAGAGCCTGGTGGCCTTGTTGGTGCCTGACGGTTTGTGGAGGAAACTGGTCTTTGACTAGCAGAGGACATAGCCCTTTGCTGCATTTGGCTACCAGAGGAAGCCGGTCTTGAGTTTTGCATCTGACTGCCTGAAGAAGCTGGTCTCCCTGAGGAAGCCGGTCTTGAATGATTCAGCTGGCTGCCAGAGGAAGCCGGTCTCGAGTTTTGCATTTGGCTTCCCGAGGGAACCGGTCTCGGATGATTCATTTGACCGCCAGAGGAAGCCGGTCTCCCATTCGCTGAAACTGGTCTCCTCTCCTCACGAGGGGGACCCTGAGCAGGTCTACCACCACCATTGATACCTGATGATTGTTTAGGTCTCGCTGATGGTTGAGCAGAACGAGCCTCTTGAAGAACATTTGCAAAAAACCTGTATAAGTTATCTCCATGAAAATGGTATGCTTTAAAAATAACTCAAATAGCAAACAACGCTTCTCAGTAGGCACAACGTACCG